TTGTTCGGTTACGGAAATTTCGTCTCTTCACTATTTTTGGTCAGAACTAGAGAGTCTCGTTGACTGTGTGGTAGGTTCATGTTCGTTCGAGTCATCTTGTGGAGTACCTTTAGGAGGACTAGTTTCCGAATTAATAGATTTAGATGTATATGTCGTCACTCGGCTTACATTTTAGTACTTTACTGAGCAAACAGCCAGGATTGAGAATGTCGTTATGTTTTTTGATGACTGTTGGAATCCGTTTCTTATCCAAAGGTTTCTAACATGCAGACTCATCTAGATCTACAGAGTGATCTGCCGTTTATGGAGTGACATTACGCTTATTGTTCATGGACTTTAAACTGTTTTCTCCTTTGCAAACTGTCACTAGGCGGTTATTTGCTGTAACACTACCGTGCAATCCTATCGCTTCACTTATTGTTACATGATGTTGACAGGGCGTTGGATCGGAAGTGGCTTTTATGCTATTGTATGGAATTAATGAGATAATATTTTTGCTCGAATCAGTAAATTGTTTAACGTCATTAAAACGGCTAAACGTTAACAGGAGGGTGTACGTTGATCTCTCAGACCTTTTTCTGAGGCGGATAATTTGGCAGCTGACGTGCAGCATACCGCAGCATACACCCCTTAACTGATTTGAGTGAGTGCGGTCAGGGAGGTTATATACAACTGCATTGTAGGAGGATACCACTCTTTTCGTCAATTTTTCAGCCACAAACTCAAAATGCACTACTCTTTGGTGAGTTGTTTGAGATTTATTCAGTATTAAGGCCTCATATGTGTGTAAGAGCGCTAGTTGTTTGAGTTTACTGTTAATTTTGGCTAGAGAGTCTTGTAACTGATGGACGTTAGTACCATATCGATCAGTAATTTTGTATGTGTGAGATATGTGTGAGATAAACTATTAGACTATTTGGTTTTCGAAGTTTTGGATCTAGGCCTTGGTAAAACATGCTGTCTGGTAGACTATGTTGACTTTTCGATGCACATGAATATTGTGCATTTTATGTCAACCAGTCTTATCGTTAGCATACTGCACGATGAGATAGAGGGGTTGATACATGGAGAATCAGGTAGTGATAGTGATGTTTGTGGACAAGACGCATGGGGTTCGGAAGATAATGGTCTAACATTGTCAGGTACTGAATCATCAGTCACGGCGGTCATCGATTTTGACTTTTTATTTGGCTTAGGCATTGGTAACATTCCTCTTTTATCAGAGTTACTTACCATAATTTTAAGCTCGGTGAGTAGGGAACTCGTTTTGCTGAATAGTTTATCTGAGTATATAGTTATTAAGTATTAACCGTGTTAATACTAGGACCAGAGACTGTGAATATATAATGTAATTCCAATATAAGGTGTTCAGTTATAACGTAAGAGAGTACCGATCAATGGAATATCTATATTTTAATTATTATAATCCAAAGATAAAAACTCGTCAATGTCAATTGCTGGGGTCTCATATAAGATATGTAGGGAACGAAGCTCACGATATGTATGTATTAACTGGTAAATATCCGTCAAAATTATTTTCCTGGAGTAAAATATTCTCCATATGCGAAATGGGATGATAATCTCAGTATATTACAGCCTACAAACGAACAAATCTAAGAATTTCTAGACCACGTGAAAAAATGTTACCACTTTCAAATTTCGTGGCCAAGTACTATGATAGCAATATATTCTCAAGTAACAGTATGTTACATGAGGCATGTCAGATTACAGTCAAGATTGATTTCTTACCAATGTTACAAGCTTTACTTTGATAAGTTATTCACTTGATTTGATATGTTATAAGGCGATGTTGTCGTGAAACATAACGAGTACTCTTTCATACATTGAAAAATTGACGTCGGCAGGACTCTGATGTTCACTATAAGATTTGGTGCACTTCATGGGAGTTGCGTTGTGATAAGCGACTGGTGGTCGAGAATGAATGCATACAAAGTCCAGATCTATGTGTTAAAAGAAGTAATGAGGTTGACAGATAATCAGTCAATCGAAAACGTCAACCTCGAAGTATTATTTTGTGATTCTTGATTGTACATGTTTACTGATTTACGTCTGTTAACTCACGTAGAGGAACATTGGCTGTCCACCAGCAGTCTCTATCAAACTATGTTCTGGGCAATCCCATCCAGTTGTTTCTAGTTGCTTTTCATCCATTTCACGTCTACTTCAACCGAAATGTATCTCTTTATTTCCGTAGATATTTGATTGGTTTTCTCGGTCTGTCAAAGTTCAAAGGAACTTGAATATAATTAAGTTTTGTATTAAATGAACGGTGGCCCTTGGAACTTAACATGACAGATGATGATTGCTGGAGGGCAAAATTGAATCTAGTATCCGTTAGACGTGTATGATGAGATTTGTAATTTAGTGAATGCATAGGAGATTGATGCATGAAACCCGACGAACTTAATGTATTAATTTGAATGCAAACATGAAGTGTCGAATTAGTGAAGAAACTATAAGAATATATTTTGCTCTATAAAATACTGCTAACTTCGAGTAAAAACTAGAGACAGACATCTATGGAACTAAGGCGAAAAAGTGTTGTGACATTCGATGTCCGCACCGCTAATTTGCTACGGCGGTAAATTCTGGTGATTACTAACGTTAAATATAGTTTAATGTACTGGAAAGTCTCAATATGGTTACAATGAATAATTTTTTACACATTCGCCTACACGTAACCGTACATATACTTATTACATTTGCATCACGTGGCAAAGAAGCGTACATGTAGTAACTTCCAGACTGCCGTTCTGTGAAATTTTCCTCATTTAGCTATATGTGAAGCTGTTTAGTGTTGGGGGTTTGAGAGGAAAAAGTCTTTGCACTATTGGTTGATACTCACTCATACGGATAGATCTTCTAATGTTGTTGTGAAAAACAAAAAAAACAGGATGAAAGTTCGCTAAGCGTTTACTTAATTAAATGACGAGACAACTAGTGGGATATGCTTACAAATAACTGCTTCGCTGAAAAAAGATTCTTTATCCTGCAACCATCTGTAGTAACATACCTATGTTTAGCTGTCTAGAAATGCGATACAGACTGAAACCAACGAAAGATCTCTGAGTCTTCTGCAAAATTTCTTCATTATGTAATCAGCTTTCACATTTTCTGTAATCGATACTATAGGAAGCCTAATCCGATCTTCTCTGGGTGAAACACTCATTTCTGGTAAATATTTCGATAATCCCCATACAGTACTCATAATGCGAACATTATTATTGCTAGACAGAAACAACTCAATTCTTATAAAATGTTTGAGAGACCACCCATTAATTTTGTATCAGGCCTCTATTCTTAATTGGGTTAGTGAATGCGAGTACATGAAAAAACAAAGTAACGGAGTGATGCACACTTTACAATTACAGGGACTACTCCTCCTTATCTGTAATAGAGACTTTTTAAGTCAATATAAATTAACTAGACATTTTGGATGATGTTGAAGTGCTTTTGGCTATTAACCACACGGCCTATCAAACTGAACATATAAATACTGGAAAAATTTACACTCAACAAGAATTGTAAGTGATGTGTGAAGGAAATTTACTTCAATGCTAGCTTGATGAAAGGTGCTTTTCCACTAATATAATTACAACGGTTCCGAAAGTATCTGGTTAATACGTAAAACATGAGTAAAAGCCTTGAACCCATCATTTATCACACTCTTCATTTAGATATAATAGGATTTAATCAGTCTGAGTGGTTGTCCTTGAACTTGAAAATATCCAGAGAATCACTCCATGTTAAGGGGCCAGTTTCACAAACATTTTATTAGGGTTCAGTGTTGCCTTACGCCTCCGCAACAATACTATAGGGAACTCAAAAGATTCACTATATTTGTGATAACTAATTGTGACAGATAAGTCAAACAGTTTTACTGAGCTTACCCTTACGAAACCACATTTCACGTATTTCCTTCACTTATGTGCATGTACCATTTGGAATTACAAAGATGTTGCTAAATGACTCCAATCAGATAACGCAATCGTAGAATTTCAGGCACCTGCTTTCGGAGAATGTTTTTAATCTATATCTTAGGCAATACAGTTTGCCTACTATTCGGTATTCGCATACTCCAACCATAAGTAAAGTTAGGAAAAGCGATTACTAACATACTATTCAGAGTTTGACTAGGCCTTTATAAACTACACCTTTACAATCGAAGTATACGGACCCAGTCAAATCAAAAGTCGGAAGCGAAGGGGTTCAAAGATATATTTGGAAGGCTATCTATATGTTGAGAAGCGTTTAGTCTAAGCTGATTAACAGTTGCGTGGGATGCGTAGCATGGCATACCCACTAGTGACCGGGTGCAGGTGAGTTACCGAGCACCTTTATCTAGGTGTCTCCAGTAAAATTAATGAGGTAGGCATCAATGTCGAAGACTTACAGGACTATTTATTTTGGGGATTTGTTTACCGGTGTACACTTCAGCTGTTAACCTGAAAATATGGAACTGAGGAGCCACAAAAACAGGAAATGAACTACAAATGAACAGTCCCTTACTTCCAGAACCAATTTCAGGATTAAAAAGGTGCTTCAAAAGAATCCTGCTGGGGTAAACCGAACTTTCGGTCTGTGAGTTTAAATTTATAATTTGTCTAGGTCGGTGCCTACAGTAACGTTGTTAATATTTTGATAGTGACACCTGTAAGGCATTCAAATTGTTGCTATCCTGAATCCTAGTTTATTTGATTGTTCTTGTCATTTTTACTGTCAATTGCCTTCGAATATTTTTTGTGGATAAACTTAATAGATTCATGTGTTATTATTGAGTCATCAGGTCACTTTTTGTTCTTCTATTCTAGATTTCTTCAGAAAAAAAATCTTCTTTCTTTGTGCACTCAACATACAGCGTACCTTTAAATTAGTAGCTAACCACTGAACATTTGCATTTCATTTTTATTTTACTCGTAAGACATTTCCAGCAGTTGGATTGGGTAGCACACTACACACCATTACTAACCTCTAAAATTATGCCTGCATACTCCGACTACAAGTCCTACGTAACAAACAACCTGTTAGAAAATGATCATGATATTCACTTCAAAATGTCTAAAAAGATTGCACAATTGACAAAAGTGGTTTGTATGTTGAACTCACGTGGTGAAGATTCTGTTGATCTACTTAAGGAGACTTCCAAACAACATGAGGATGAAATTATGAAACTAAAGAGATCCTATGAACTAAAACTGAGAAATTTGGAGCTTAGACTTGAAGAAGAGAAAAGATTCGGGGACACCATAACCTTCTTAGAAAAGAGTATTAATGAAAAAGAGTTGGAAATCATCAACATGGAATCTGTGAGTTATTTGTAGTAGTTGAGCGTATTGTAAAATTTTATGCCGTTGCAATGTGCATTTGGTTACTCAGCTTTGAAATTTACACTTTAATACAGATTAAAGTTTCATCTCTCCAGGCCAGCTGGTTATGAACGCTCCTGAAGAAAAACCGACATACCACTTTTGAATTAGGTTGTCAATTGTGAATATCATAACCATCTTTTTATAAATTCTATCTTAAAAATAAGAAAACATTTTGGAGAACAGACATCAGTGCTTAGGCAGGTTAGGAAACATGTCTTATGAAGTTATTTATTCTTTGAGGGCTTATACTTTCCTTCGATTAGGGAAATCACTGTTTTTAGATTCCAAGTCTTTAAGCGTTCATCAATCTCCCTCCTTAATGCGGCATTTGACTCTGTTGGTCGTGAGGTTCTATGGCAGTGTTTGTCACTGAAAGGATTACCAAAGAAGTACATTCACCTTATAAAAGCTCCATACTCGAACACAACTGGTCGAGTTAGAGCTTATGGCGAACTGTCATCAGAGTTGATTACGTCAAGGGGTGTTCGTCAGGGCTGTCCACTTTCTCCATTCCTGTTTAACTTTATGGTAGACGGGCTTCTAGAGATAATAATTTCCTCATCCAAATTTAGAGGAGTAGAACTTCTACCAGAAGACTCACTTGTTGACTTAGAAGGCGTTGCTTCATATACAGTGTGCTATTTTAAAGTTTACATTATCATACCGTGTTTCAAAGCCTATTTACATAAGATAATCTAATGTATTAGAGTTCTTGCTGTTTATCCTTTAGACTGTAGCAAGTCTACCGAATAAAAAGGTTGTCAAGACACTATATTAAATATTAAATTTTCTAAATATGCTTTTAGTAACACAAATGATTAAAATCAATGAATACAGTTAAAACTTGACTACATAGGAAGTTGGACCCTCAAAGGATGTGTATTTAAAACGATAAATTTAAATGAGTCCACCCTATAAATATTTTTTTGTATGATTCCAGAACTAAGTCATGCAAACAAATTCGACATTTATTCCCAGAATAAATGATTAATATTTAAAAATGTTCTTATTTGTACTATTCAAATTGAACAGAAATGTAGTCAGTTAATAAATGAGCATCATTTAAAAGAAGATATGTTGAAAGCCAAACATAATGAAGAAATAATTAAAATGCAACAGACTTTTGTTGAGCATAAAGAAAAATATGAAAAAGAATTAAATACTATACAAGGTTTTGCTGAACAGTGGAAATCTCATCAATGTCCAAACGTTGAGCCAATTCTTAATGAGAAATCGCAACTTGAATGTGAATTTAAAAGATTACAAGAGAAGTATTCTTTATTAGAAACGGAAGTAGAATGTAAGTGTATAATGTGTTTATAAACGGTCCCCAAAATACAGTAAAGTTAAAATATAAGTCAACTGAGATACTTAAAAACCAATGTATAAATAAAAAAATGCTTAATGAGGCGTTTAAAATTTTAGTCAGCAGACCAACAGGGGAATTATTTTTTGGCGTCCATTTGGATGAGCCATATTTGAAAACCAAATGAACACTAAACTTTAATTGTAATCCCTTTATATTTAAACAACTTTTATGGTACATAAATAATAAAGCAATGAGAAAATGAATTTGAGGATTAACCTTCGTTTTCACATAATCATATGTAAAAATTTTGTGATTTAAGTGACTTTGCTACTAAGACCGTTTGATCAGTTGTGTTTTACATGTAGTCTGTATTGTATCGAGATGATTATGTTAAATACATTCAGGTGTAGGCATTATTCGAACGAAATGCAGTTGGATGTTTGATCACTTGATGGTATTTAGATATTCAAGCTAGAGAAGTTTTGTCGCTATACTTATAAGAAGTTATTTCATATTATAATAGTTAATATCATTGTAATTCGTAAAATTCCGAAGTTCAAAAGATGAAATTTGTCTGGATGTACGATAATATAAATAATAAGAATTTATAGGTCATAAATCATAAGATATTCAGACCTCGATAATAATTCTGAAGGCATAGAAAAGAGAGCTCTTTTTTCAGGCAAAGCTATGGTTACAACACGTACCATAAATCAAGGGACAACGTATGGTATTGTATAATGGATAGCGGCGATTAAAAAAGATAAATTCACATCTACCCATCGAAATAAAGTAAGTCGCTAAAAAATTAATCAGTTTCAACAGGTAGCGTACACATTAGAGACTAACCACTGAGAGGATGAACCGATAATATTACACGTAGGTGAACGAATTAGAACAATATAATTAAGAGTATAAATGGATGGGTACAGTAATTTATATCAAAGAGAAATATACTCCACGTTCTGAAAAGTCTAGAAAAATATCTGAAAACAACATAAGCTATTGAATATTAGTAAGTAGTATGATATGATGTACTTACTTACTTACTTACGCCTGTTACCCCTCGTCGAGGAGCATAGGCCGCTCACCAGCATTCTCCATCCAACTCTGTCCTGAGCCTTCCTTTCCAGTTCTTTCCAGTTGCTATTCATCCTTTTCATATCGGCTTCTATTTCCCGGCGTAGTGTGTTCTTTGGCCTTCCTCTTTTCCGCTTCCCTTCCGGATTCCAAGTTAGGGATTGAGTCGTGATGCACATTGGCGATTTCCTTAATGTATGTCCGATCCACTTCCAACGTCTTTTCCTTATTTCCTCTTCAGCTGGAACCTGCTGGTTTGTCCTCTCCCATAAAACGCTGTTGCTGATAGTATCCGACCAATGGATGTTGAGTATTTTGCGTAGACAACTGTTTATAAATACTTGTACCTTCCTGATGATGGCCGTAGTAGTTCTCCACGTTTCAGCTCCATACAGTAGGACTGTCTTGACGTTCGTATTAAAGATTCTGACCTTGAAATTGGTTGAGAGTTGTTTTGAGTTCCATATGTTCTGCAATTGTAGAAATGCTGCCCTTGCTTTGCCAATCCTTGCCTTTACATCTGCATCCGATCCTCCTTGTTTATCAACGATGCTCCCCAGGTACTTGAATGTTTCCACCTCTTCCAGAGTTTCGCCATCAAGTGTGATTGGGTTGGTGTTCTCCGTGTTGCATTTGAGAATCTTGCTTTTTCCTTTGTGAATGTGGAGGCCTATCGATGCGGAGGCTGCTGCTACATTTGCTGTCTTCATCTGCATTTGGTCGTGTGTATGAGAGAGGAGGGCTAGGTCATCTGCGAAGTCCAAATCATCTAATTGATTCTGAGAAGTCCATTGTATTCCGTATTTCCCTTCAGATGTCGAATTCTTCATAATCCAGTCAATCACTAGAAGGAAGAGGAATGGGGAGAGTAGACAGCCTTGTCTGACTCCGGTCCTTACTGGAAATGCATCTGTCAGCTGCCCTCCATGCACCACTTTGCACTGTAGTCCATCGTATGAGTTTTGGATAATGTTGACGATCTTCTGAGGAACTCCATAGTGTCGAAGAAGTTTCCACAATGTTCTCCTGTCCACGCTGTCAAACGCCTTCTCATAGTCGATGAAGTTGACGTATAGTGATGAGTTCCACTCAACTGATTGTTCAACGATGATCCGTAGTGTCGCAATCTGGTCTGTGCACGACCGATCCTTACGGAATCCAGCCTGATGATCCCTAAGTTCGGCGTCTACTGCGTCTTTCATTCGATTCAGCAGCACTCTGTTGAAAACTTTTCCTGGTACTGATAACAAACTGATACCTCTGTAGTTCTCACATTGGCTCAGATCTCCTTTCTTTGGTATCTTGATGAGATATCCTTCTTTCCAGTCCGTTGGCACTTGTTCCTCTTCCCAAATCTTTTTGAATAGAAGGTGAAGCATGTTTGCAGTTATTTCAATGTCTGACTTCAGTGCTTCTGCTGGTATATTGTCAGGTCCTGCCGCCTTCCCACTTTTGATTTGTCTGATGGCCATCTTGACTTCTTCGATCGTTGGTGGAGTGACATCTATTGGAAGGTCAGTGTGGGCTGCTTCGATGTTTGGTGGATTCAATGGGGCTGGTCTATTCAGCAGTTCCTCAAAGTATTCTGCCCATCTTTTCCTCTGTTCTTGAATCTCAGTGATTGTCTTTCCTTCTTTGTCCTTGACTGGTCTTTCTGGTTTGCTATATCTCCCTGCCAATTTCTTCGTTGTATCATATAGTTGTTTCATATTCCCTTCTCTTGCAGCTTTTTCCGCCGCCGTTGCTAGTTCTCCCATATATTTCTGCTTGTCGGCTTTAATGTTTTTCTTCACTTCTCTGTTTGCTTCTGCGTAGTCTGCTTGTGCTTTGACTTTCTCTGCTCGTGTTCGGCTGTTGTTAATTGCTAGTTTCTTGTTCTTCCTTTCTTGAAGTTTGTCCAGGGTTCCCATAGAGATCCATTCCTTGTGATGGTGCTTCTTAGGACCAAGAACCTGCTGACACGTTGAAGTTAGTGCTTCTTTTATCCCTTTCCAGTTGTCCTCCAAAGTAGTTTCTTGTTCTTTCAGTAGATCCTGTAGAGCTTGGAACCTGTTGTTGAGAGTTATCTTGAATTCATTGAGCTTGTCAGCATCTCGAAGGAAGGCTGTATTGAACCTTTGTAGTGCTGTTTGTCCAGTTGTCCAGTCTTTCTTTAGCTTCAGTCTCATCTTGGCCACAACCAGGTGGTGATCTGAAGCTATGTCAGCTCCTCTCCGGGTTCTCACATCTTCCATTGATCTTCGGAATTTTTTGTTGATACAGATGTGATCAATCTGGTTCTCTGTGGTGTGGTCCGGTGAGATCCATGTAGCTTTGTGTATGCGTTTGTGTGGGAATATTGTGCCGCCTATAACCAATTTGTTGAAAGCACATAGGTTTGCAAGTCTCTCCCCGTTTTCATTTCTCTCTCCTAGTCCATGTCGTCCAATTACATCTTTATATCCTGTGTTGTCCACTCCAACTTTAGCATTTAGATCTCCCATAAGGATGGTGAGGTCCTTTCGTGAGCACTTCTCCATAATTGATTGCAGCCTTTCATAGAACTGATCTTTATCATCGTCGTTGCTATCATTGGTGGGTGCATAACATTGGATAACATTCATTGTGATCCCCTCCTTCTTTGTTCTGAATGATGCTTTGATTATCCTGGGTCCATGAGATTCCCATCCCACAAGTGCATTTCGTGCTTCTTTGGACAGCATTAGAGCAACTCCCTGAGTGTGTGGCGCATCTTCCCCTTCGTGACCGGAGTACAGCAGCATCTCTCCTGTACCTAGCCTTTGTTGTCCAGTTTGTGTCCAATGGGTTTCGCTGATTCCGAGTACTGCCAAGTTGTATCTCCTCATTTCCATTGCTATTTGGCTGGTCTTTCCTGTTTCCCACATTGTCCGGACGTTCCATGTACCTATAAAGAGTGTTGCTCTGGTTGTTAGAAGGTGCATCGGTCTCGTGACTTCCGAAGAATTTCGGCTTTCATCATGAGACGTCATTATTCCTTCAACTCCCAGGGCAGAGTTTAAATGGTTTGGATTATTTTTTCTGGTTAGCGTTTTTTTAGCGAGTTAGCTTTTCTACGGGATGGGGTCGCTAACCCCATGCCCAACCCTCCTCCTTTACCCGGGCTTGGGACCGGCAGTAACTCTAGAAGAGCTACAGGCGGAGTTATGATATGATGTAGGGTAATCATTTGAATGAAGATTAGTGCTAAACAAATTGAAGACAATGTAACAACCAGTAGAAATCAGAAATTAGTGCGATGTTGTCTAATTGGCTTTTTCCAGCCTTTTTATTATTAAAGCTCAAAGATGAGGCTCAGGATGCTTGAAATGTTTATCGAGAACAGTATTTATCGGATCATATGAATTAATTCGACAGAATTATGCATTTGTAACTCCACTTACTTTATAATATTATTAAGTTTTGTCACAAAGTTTTCTCTGAGTATCTCAACTGGGATAACTGATTTGTTTGACGGAATCTTGCAGCAGAAATTCAGGTAGTCTTTCTTCAGGTAATTAATTCTTTAGCATAGAAGTATATTGTAAGTAGGCTATTGTTACAGACAAAACCTTACGGGATATTTTTCTGTGGTTACTTCTTCATCCATGATTAATTAAGGGCACAAATAATGATAGTTGTTTATAATGCTACGTTATTTTGTCTGCTGATAATTTGGAGATACTGGGGAATGTCAATAGTATTTCTAATGTTGCTTTAATAAAGAGGTATTTCACTCTTTAGAGTTATTAAACATTTTAGTCTTAGATTTTCTGGGGCATGATTGTAAATGAGAACATGTGCTCTTCCCTATGCTCTTTCAGTTTATTTGCCTTCGGATTTATGTATAAATTACCAAAATTATCAGTAAACAGTATAATATGGCTTTTATTTGTTCCACTGAAAAAGTAGCAATTTAGAAACTCACTTAAGATTTATGTGTCTAGAAAGAAACAGTCATCAGTTTATCATTCTCTTACTTGCTGATTTTGTCAAACATGTGTGAACTCTTCAAAGCTTTCGGAATTATTGCGTAACCCATTTCATCATTTAAGGAATGTAAATAATTACCACATCACCACTCTACGTTTTCTGTGTCTATTTTCAAATAATTTTAAGCTTTTGTAAACTCTTTAAATCTTCCATAACTACTATCTAATTGATCTTAATAGTTTTCAAAGTCCATATATAGTTGTTACCGATAACTATTGTTGTTCCAACTCTTCTTGTCACGTGTCTACTACTTAGTGCTATACTTTTACATGAATACGTTTATAAGGCCATGAAAAGAAACGATAACATAAAATGAATCTACATTTTTCTGTATTTATCGTTATTTTGGTCTTATTCAACTTCGTAAAACAGATCAACTGTAGAAAACTTATATTTCAATAGTTTTCGAAGTAGTTGGAAGTTATAAGTGTCATATCATCATGTTCTATATCAATATACTTCATGATAAAATTTTATGAAATATATGATGTTTACAGTCTGTAAATTATTTGCATTAAATATCAGAAAGGGATTTTTGTAGATATTATAGTAATTTAATGGTCGAATTAATGAGCCAATTGAAGCCAGACCACCGTGGAAAACCTGAAGCATTGGGCGGCCCAGTGACCAAGAGGTTTAGCGTCCGCGAGCGAGACCAATAGATCCTGGGTTCGTATCCCGCGAGGCGGGGTCATGGGGGGCACAGTAAGACAAAACGGCCATCCAGTACTTCCAGGTTTTCCATAGTAGCCTAGCTTCAATTGACTCATGATCTCAACTAACTGCATTTCATTCATTTTTCTTTATTTTAGATAGAATCAAAGCTCTTACAGATTCATATGAATGTAAAATTCAAGAAATTATCAAAAATATTAAAGATGAAGAAAATAGAAAAGAAAATGAACTATTAGAAATCAATAAAAATCTTTTACAGGATTTAAAAAATCAAAAATATATCTATGATCAATCAATTATTAAAAATAATCAAGAAAAAAATGAATTAAGTAATTTTATAAAACATAATACAGAAATTAATTTAAACAATATTTGGCAAGGTCGTTTAAATCAAGAAAGAGAAGAATTTCAAATAGAATTATCAAAATTACATAAATTAAATGAAGAAATAAAATACAATTTAGAGAATCATATTGAAAGTTCAAAATTGAAATATGATAAGGTAAATATTGATGTTATATGTACTTGGAATTGATTGATTATTTATTATTGTATATTGAAATAGGATGAATTATGTAGAAGCATTCAACGTTATCTCAGTCTCTCGAAAATTAAATTCATCATTGAAAATTGAACTGTATTATTTAGATGAAATAAAAAATGAAAGTATTATTGACAGAAAGAGTTAGTTAGACTTTTAAAATAAAGATATATAGCGTTTAAAAGGTATCAAAATTGGATAGGAAGTAGAAATGAAAATTGAATTTGACTCCAAACGTTTGTGTACATGACTGTAGAAAAACAATAATCATTCATTTATTAAATTTACTAGTTGCCGTTGTGCATACTCAGGGAAATTATTATTTTATCTGAACGGCAATTAGTAACATTGTGGTTTATGAACTTTGGAACCATAGCTATTCGATGCTACACTTGCTTATATTATCTGGTATTTTGTGAATGCCCTATATTTATGTAAAGAGGTTAAATGAATGTTGTCTAAAGAAATTTATTCAATGCCTTTGAAAAATTGAAGTTACCACTTATTGTGTTCTGTTTTAAATTTTTGAATTTACTCTGCTGTACATGAAATTCAGGTTTACAAATAGTTACTAATTTCAATTATTTTCGAGCATTTACCTTTAATCTCAAGGTACTAACTACATCTCGATGAGCTCCACCATAAAGTTTGCTTGGATTCTTCCATTCTTCCAAAGACTTACAGTACTAAGTTCTGAAATAAATACTTTGAAGTTCACTGAAAAATTCTGAATCTAAGTAAAGACATACCTGAGGACTTTAGTTATTGAATCGCGTCTTACCCACGCAAAATCACTTGGAAATAATATCTTAATTTAGATCTTATATTCGATACCTCTGAAGCAAGTTTAATTTAAATAAATAGAAACTAAAATGATAATAACACGGGTTAAGCTTTATGCAAATTAACTTTTATAAAATTTGTTGCTCAACGTGTACTTTGTGCATATAATCACCGCCAAAATCTACAGCAAACTGTTTAGTATAAGATGGATCTACCAGTCGACAGATCTAAAACTACAACATGTCCCTTATTCAATACAAAAAGACTAGTTTCTTTCCAACATAAATAAAACACAGATATAAGAAAGTATAATATTCTTCTCAATAAATTTTCATCTAGTTATAGTTAAAGTTATCGATTTAAAGTAGTTAACCAAAGAAACAATTAAGTTTAGGGTAAATATAGACTTGAGACAAACTCCACGTTTCTAAGTCATATGAGAATTAGTTGGAGATATGACTTTTGCCGTGTTGTGATTTTTCTTCTATCATGAATGAGCACGCCACACTTGGCGACATGTCCGTAGCATGGTGGAGTTGTATTTTTGTCATCGAAAACCTTACATTTTTCATGTAAGCCAGAGGACGAAACATCTCCTCCGTCATGGAATAAGAAAAATAAGTCCCGGTTCATTTTGTTTGGTTGCCAGGTACAAGGTCGAAATTAAGGATGAGCGTGGAGTTTATTGTCATTCTGTGCAAATTGCTTTGATATCGCCTGAAGTCACAAGCATTATAAGTAGAGATGGATGATGACCAGCAGTGAAATCCAAATAAAACGTGTTACGCGTCTGAGAACGGTACTGGGTCCTAGTCCTGGATTGAATAACGACTCTGGGATAAAGGTACATCCAGCTGACGAGTTCCACATAGGACAGAACGCATGTCCTGGATTCCACTGCTAGCCACCATCTATCTCTGCTTATTATCAACATTGTTTAGAATATGGAAATGAAAGTTTTTGCCGTAAAATTAAAGAGATTACTGAGGAGAGAGCATTGAATTCTAACCATGTTTATTTTTAACACTCAAATAATTTTATAGAGTTGAGATCATGAGTCAATTGAAGCTAGACCACCATGGAAAACCAGGAAGCACTGCTTGACGGCCGTTTCATCCTATTATGGGACTCCTCAGCAATGTGCATCCACGATCGCGCCTCGCGAGATTCAAACCCAGGACGTACCAGTCTCGCGCGCGAGCACTTAACCGATAGACCACTGAGCTGACTGGCATCCAACGGTGTTAATGTTTAACTTCAAACAATCCACCAAATTGAGCAACCATTCATCAATGTATTCAGTCAGCTGATATCTCCCAACAGACCTAGTTGAACTCCACTGGTTACTACTTCTCACTAGAACTCCAGGAAATACCTCATGAAATCGGTCACTAGTGAGCACATAATCATTATCAGAAGGGGTTTTTGTGGAGAATTTAGTAATTTTATAGAGTTCAGATCATGAGTCAATTGAAGCTAGATCGCCATTATGGGATGAAACGGCCGTCCAGTGCTTCCAGGTTTTCCATGGTAGTTTAGCTTCAATTAACTCATGATCTCAACTCTATAAAAAAACTTAAATAATTTATTAATAAAATAATAAACATTTTATTACTAAATAGAACTTATCAATTATTTATTTTATTTATCAGCTTAATACAGAATACATAAATTATCAAAAGAAAACAAACATAGAATATGAAGAATTTCATCAAAAAATTATTGATTTACAATTAATTGGAGAAAATTTGAAAAAAGAATTAATCATAAAAAATGAAGAAAAAATGAATTTAGAAAAAGAAGTAAATTAATAATATTTTAGTTTATTTTAATTTCAATGGATTGTTTTAGTTTTAGTTTTTTTTTATTCGGAAGGGGTTTTGTGGAGATTTCACTATTTTTCAAAGTTGAAATCATGAGTCGATTGAAGCTAGACGACCATCAAAAACCTGGAATCACTGGACGGCCATTTCGTCTTATTATGGGACTCCTCAGCAGTGCGCATCTACGATCCCGCACTCGCGGTTGATCGATTCCTATGATATTATCCAAATCACTTTTTTCCTTAAAAAGTCAAATTTGATATACAAAAAGGATTATAACTTATAGGAGATTGATAATGTTTTTCTGATGATGAGTAAATTTGTTTTAAATAATCTAGTGAAATCAATGCTTATTATATCTTTCTATTAAATAGACAGACTATTGGGTTGAGAAATATAATATAAGAACTGAACATTAACATTAAGAATTGGGAAACTGTAATAGTATATAAAAGTACGTGTTTATTGGTAAATCTTGCTGATTGAATGCTATACTCAAACCATAAGTTAGTCTCGTAACCCCAAGCTAGAACTATACAGCAACTTGAACACGAGAGAAAAGGCGCAAAATATGCGGCAAGCACTTTACTCCAAAGGTTCATTTATGTACAGAAAATATAGGGTTTTTATAGTATTTTAGAAGTCCTTAAGTTTTCCTGAAAATTCTAGAATGCTACTAAGCATAGTAGCAGTATAGTAATCAGCCAATCAGAACCTCTACATGTGATTTTTCATTTTCGTGATATTTCTAGCAAAACTTCTAATTAAACGCTGATTGGATAAAATGCTTCTTAATGTTTCCTGAGCTTGTCATGTCGATTGCGAGAAATTTGCTGGATCATCCCAACATTTATGAAATTGTTTAGATTTACTCAAGAAACCTTAATAACAAGCCCCTAACAAAGTGAAATATATTTACATAATACATTTTGAAGCTGATTTAAAAATTTAAAAAATGAATAGATAGTTGAAAACTTGATAATATGAAGATTTGAACATTGATAACAATTTATTTTGAAACTAAAATAACAATAATTACGGAAGAATTGATTATTTTTAGTTGAAATTTAAGAAAAAGAAATTTAATAAAGACATGATTATTTATAAGAAACTATGTTGTTTCTAACTTAATAGGATAATCTAACATTTGACCAATTAATTACTTCAATATCTTTGAGAATATGTTAATTCGAATAAGCATAGGATAGTAATTAAAAAAGTATAAAATCATGAAATCTTTGTTATGGTAAAAATATGGGATAATTTGACTGTCAAAATAAATGACAGTCAGTCACACACTATTCTATTACAGTTGAAAGAAGATGAAAATGACATGGGTAACTTTATTCTATGTATATGAACAAAAGTAATTAAAAAAATGTCTTCATGTGAAATTCTTATATCAACATAAAAGTAACAGAAGGGGTTTTGTGGAGATTTCAGTATTTTTCATAGTTGAAACCATGAGCCAATTGAAGCTAGACCATCATGGAAAACCTGAAAGCACTGGACGGCCGTTTCGTCCTATTGTGGGAGTAATACAGAAAGCTGAATGAAAACAAAGATAAATATTGCTGGTTGTAAACTTTGTAGTTTTTTGCTTGATATTCAGTCTACATTGATATATAAGTTTTATGTACGAATGCCTCAATATAACATGCATTTACATCTTGAGTGGTAGCAAGTTTCAATCTCTGAAAAGTGAGTTTTCAACTCTTAAGTTAGGTGTCATGCTAAAATGATGGACACCATTAACAGCTTAGGTAGATGCTTTAGGTAGTTTTCATCTTTTTGAGTCATTTGGTTCAGTTGGTAACCTTTTGTTGCCGTTCTGAACCTCATCAAGATCCACTACTTGAAGCCATATATATATATATATATATAGTTCAAGATGTAAGTTTCAGTGAAACAATCAAAATTTTACGACTTAAACCTTATTGTGAGGAGAAACTTTAGAACTATTTAGTTTTGATTGCTGAAAATTTATTAAATATAATTTCAGTTATTTCTACCTACCTGTTACTAAAAGTTTATGGATTAGTTATCAGTCAACTAGAAGAATTTCTGGTGTTACAACTTCATTAATCCATGAAAGTTTAGAAATTTCGACAAATTCATAAAGTATGATTAATATTTTGTATAAGTGATGACATGCAAAATAATCATCAGTGCAACTCTAGTCTCTTCCTTTTTTTATTAATATATATATATACGCTTAGAATTCATCTAGATAATCATGATTCTTCTGGATTTTATCATTTGACTATTGTTTGTAAATAATCTATTCAGTTGATTTAACAACTGAATAATTTGTAGGCGAGACTATAATTTATGGACGACCTTTGAGCGAATCTCAACGGACTTTGAGAAATGTTAGCCATTCAGTAAACAGTCAGCATAGAGTAAAAAATATTATACAAAATCAAATAATTAAAGTGGATACACCTCTTTTATATGGTCCAAAAACTTGTCAAGGTTAGGAAAACGTTCAAAGGTTTTAAAATTGTAATGCATAAGGTAGAGGAAGCCATCCATATAGCTCCATAATAGTTGGTCTCTGGAGCCATGATAATTTTACAAAAAACCCCCCAGCCTCGACCACATAGCTTCATTATTGTTTACGTGTGCTCCGGTTGTGTAAGTTTATCATTTTTATTATGGGTATGTCCCTACAACACTCATACCACTGAACAGCCGAAGCTTCAGTAACATATGCGATTATTACAGCCTATGTTAGTGGTGCCTTTATTATACAGTTCGCGGAAATTATTATAATATTTGTTATTCTCAATCTGGATCGAGCGATAAAGCTTCCTATTCCAGCAAACATCTTCCTTCAACGTATATTACATCGAAGGACAATATCGCGGTAGTCTGTACAACGTCTACAAGTCACTTAATTACCACAATCACAAATAAAGGAACTTCTTATTAGTCTCATTTGTTGTAGCCGCTTAATTGTCAAGTCTTCTTTAAAATTCTCTGTAGACCGATCATACATGAGCATCAGGTACTGAAATTGGCGCTGTGACCTTGAAATCCTTTAAACGCTTCTGATTAGTTCGTCCATAAATTATAGTCTTGCCAATTTGTACACTATTTTAATGAAAAAGCCTCATTATAAATTAAACATCTAATCGAATAATTGTTAAGTTCAAGTTTTTGATTAGGTTTTCATATTTATTTACAGAGCAATACCAAATAAATGAATATTGAAGTTTTATAGTTAGTTCATTATAGAGTTTTTTTTCACCAATCTAACTTGAGTTTAACATTTAATAGAAGAAGGAAAGTTAATTTTTTCATCGAAGATTTTCAATTAAGTCTAACAACATTTTAAGGGTTCTTACGTAATTTATCGATAATTTCCTTTTTTGTAATTATAAATTATCTAAATAAATTATTTTGTTTTCTGTGATCGTTTTTTAAGTTTTCTTTATTGATCCCTTCCTTGTGATTATGCAATAATTGATCTTATTTTCATCTATTTTGATAAGTGATACGTAATTGAAATTAATTTCATTTAAATTTCAATAAAATAAATGTATATTTGATCATTCAGTTAGATTTGATTTAATTATTAAAAGATGTTTAAATGAAGTTGATAAACAACTCAAGTACATGTTCATTTCAGTAATGTAATTGGGAAATATATATATTAGATTAATCAACCTAGTATGAGTGTTATGAAAATATACATCTGTGTCAATATTGCATAAACATGAAGGAATCGGGTTGTCAATGATCATAGTTTATAAAATCTTACTACTTTCAATACCTCTAGAGTATCTTCTTTCAATTTCTCATATTCTTTAAATAGATTAAACAAATTAAGAAATAGATTTGATAAATATAATGAATGTCTATATCAAATAAAAATCAAGATTATACTATTTTAATTGTTTATCTGCACTTAACTGGTAAGTCTTTGAAGTTAATTAAGGTTAAAAGACGTAGGTGGAGATGGAAATTATCGTGGTGTGATTCAAGTTCAGGTATCATTCGTAACACATCGACATTTAAAAGCTGTTTTGTCCCAGCATAACATTCTTTAATAGTATATCCATGACCCTAATAGGACTCCAACTTGTGACGTTCAGGTCTTGTGGCGAATACTTAACCTTTAGACCAATAGGTCGGTATACAGTGGTATATATCCCTAACTTTAATAATTTTGTATTCTAATTTTGGTAACAAAGAATGTCTCACTCCACAGTAGTCTGAACTCCGCCAGTCACGACTGACCACGGAAACTGCAGGAACAATTATAAACTAATAGTTAAACTTACTTCAAAAAAAGCCTTTAAATTAAAAGGTTTTATTTCAAAGGACTATTTTTTTCGAAAAAAACTCATCGGTCTGAAATAAAATAAAACAAAACATTATCACTCGTTGGTGGACCGTAAAATGGGGTGTTACGTTAATAAAAGAAATCACTTAAGGTCAGTATTATGTATGAAGTAACTGAATTGCTTGTGAATATCAATACATTATAAAATATTTTTGATTATATTGATCTTGCAAAGCATAGTCAGCCATGTTCAAAACAGTTTCAAATGAATATTTGTTTACCAATTCTCAGTCGACGTAAATTTGGAATATCAAATAAACGATGGGTTTTAATCGTTTACAAAAGTGAGGTTTAGATTTGCTAGCCATAGGTGCTGCAATAAATTCAGTCTGAGAGTCATTCAGAAATTAACTTCAAGAAACATGTTTAAATCATTGAAGTGAAAAAAGTGCTAGATGACATGTTATTCACCGATTCATTTGGCTCAATATCAATAGTTTTCTCATCGTTAGTGATATAACCAAGTGAGTTGACAATCAGGTTGGATTGTGTTGAACAACATGATTATAACCTGCTCCCGTGCCTTATGACTTACCAAGTCACATGAATATCAAAAGATAACACCTGAACTATGATTGTGTATATTTATTATTAATTAGAAAAGATACGTCTTGATAAATATTCATAATCGGCATAGAACTACAACAGAAAAACAAATTAATGATTTCTGCTGACTGGTTAAACAACGGAACAAATTATTTGGCTAGATTAAACGGATCATGTATAACTGTGTATTCATATATATATATATATATATATATATATATATATATATATAGGGAGAGATGTGACTATGTTCTTTAATTGTATCTTATCTGTTTAATTGATAAACATAACTTTTCTTTATTTCTCTCTCAGAGGAATATGAAATATTTACAATTAAAAAAAGAATATGATGAATGTTTAGAAAAATTAAAGATAACTGAAGCTCAGTTGGAATCCAAAAACGGTAATTAGGTATATCTATATATGTAGTTTGAACAAGTGCAGTGTTTATTTCAAGTTTGATTTTTTTTTTAAATGTGGTTAAAAGTGTACTTCTTAAAATGATGTTTATGATTAACCAATCAAATGATTTATGAAACATTTCCTGTTTTTTTTGTTTGTCAACCGAAACACATATGCACATAAATAAACATCTCAATCTTATCTCACAAATGTATTTAAGCATATTCATAGAGTTAAGAAAGTCTTCAGATGATATGGAATATAATCTATTTACCACTTTTATTTGCCAATGTAATTCCGGATGAAAAAGGGTGTTAAACAAAATGCAGATTGCATTTACTTAGTATTGTTTGCTTAAATCTTCCCATTGATGCTTAGGACTGCAACTGGTCAGTCTCTTATTGGCATATGTGCATACTGTGCGTATTGCCTCGATATTACCTTAATTCACAGGCATTATAAACAAAGATGGATAGTTACTAGCAGTGGAATCAAGGACACGCGTTTCATCCTATTTGGGACTTGTCAGCTGGATGTACCTGCATCTCAGAACTCAGTAGCTGAGTGGTTAACGCGATGGCGTTTGAAACGAATGGTACTGGGTTCGAGTCCCAGAGGGAACATCAACTCTGAGGTGTAGATACATCCAGCTGACGAGTCCCAAATAGAACGAAACGCGCGTCCTGGATTCCACTGCTAGCCACTATTCATCTTTAGATGCGGATTATTTTGATCGGATGTTTTCTAAAAATGATAATTAAACGGTATTTAAATTATTCATAAGACAGTAGTTACAAAAAGTGCTGAGGGATTTGACAATAATAAAAAAAAATATATTGAACCTGTTCGATTTTCACAGTTTGTTTTTCAATATTTCGATTAAAAACATCAAAGTAAACTGTTATTTATGTACAGTGTAGGGTAATTTTTGGTAATCATACTATTTGTGTAACCAGATAACAAACACTTTAATTTACTGAAATATTTGACTTGGAACATTTCCTTTGACTTCATTCCATCAAAATGATGGATTACAAAGAAATAAAGGTTTAAAACAAAAACGAAGAAATTAGCTTAATAGCCATCGACACATTTAACGGGTTTCATGACTCAGATTATTATATATTCTGGTGGTTCTTTCAACGAGTATATATTATCCGAAAAATTGTGAACTCATTCATATTGGAAAACATAAATATACTGACTAAATCATTTCTAATGTTGGGAAAGAATAACTGCTTTATATGAACCACTGTTTTCTTCTGGAAGTAAAAAACTGTATGAAGTATCTTAATTTTATTAAAAACCCACTTTGATGGCCAAAGACAAGTTGATCGAAGCTGCACAGTTCTAGACCTGATGGAAACCAATCATAAATGACGGAATTATGTTTAGAATTTGTAAGCAATATGCTGTAAAAAGGAAAATATTGATTTGTTTAAAAGCAAAGCAATTGCTTTAGAGCAAAAGCAAACACAATTAAGTAATAATTTACGAAACGTTAGGTGTAGCAACAATAATAATAAGTGAAACTAAACAAATACCACTAAGAGAACAATTTAACACACTAGCTTGTTCGAGAAATATTTTAAATGAGTTTATGATATTGTACAAAACTTAGGGTACTCTAGTCTTACTTTTAACCGCACAATATATCTGATTACTTAATTTACGTTTGTTGTATGCGTATCTAAATCTTATATTTTATGTTGCGCAACACTGCACTACACACAACATTCCAGAATGATCCCGTAAATTGTTTTGCATTGAATGCAAATCCAACCACACAACTATGGTAATAAAATTGTTGACAATAAATTTTGATTCTCCATTAAATATATAACTTGACCTTTAACATTATTTATGGTTTAAAAGTGGATTAACTATTCTACACATCTGTATGAAGTTATGCAACACTTCTATTCGGCATAATGAACAATTTTTCCCTTTTTATTGTTATTGGATGTAGTGAATATTATAATGACGAGTTTTTCATTTATGCATCATCTAATAATTTGAGTTTGCATTTCAGGGATGTCAGTAATATTGCGTTTAACTTTTAATAATGTTAAGTGACTTGTATGTAATCGATCAAAACAGTTATTAAGAATCCAAGAGCACATGAAGGCAACAAAGTCTAGGGATTGAGTCAACCATAAAAGAGTTTGCCCTAACGAAATAATTTTGAAAGTTGAATTCTACTCATAGTAGTAGTCACTTATCCAAAAAAAACAGTAAGAGAATTGCGATTGAACAATTCAATGAAAAAAACTGAATACTTCCAAAAGAATCCACCTGGACCTAAACCATTCTTTAACATTTCAAACTATGGAATTAGCATATTCCAACATCAGAATACAGATATTAACAAGAGAATAAAGGTTTTTTGATTGAATGATCAACATACTGATAATCAAGCATAATTCGGAGTTATACTTCAAAAGATACTAATTATGACAAAAAGTTTTGTCATTTTTGATGATGAAACATCATTTCCATGCATAAGTCAAATATCTTTTTTAAAAAGCTACAAGTTTCATAGTTTCGGAAACCGTTAACGTTGTTTCCAATTGCTTAATGAGATATATTTATCATTAGAGAGAACTAATGATGTATCAAATATATTTTAGAATTTTTCTTATTAAAGGACAAGTAGTACTTTTGTGTTTTATTAGATCATATATACACTTACTATAGTGTATTGAAACCAAACATTAGACATCTATTATTGTCAAATACATTTGAGTACTTTTTAGATTAGTGTGTAAACATATTTCAATAAGGAATAAAACTTAGGGGTTCATAATGTTATCAAGGAACCACAAAAGTACTAATTAAGTGTTGGTAAAGTGTAGTTTGTTCGAACATGTCTCAATTGTTGGGTATCAATCAATTAAAACCGCTGAATCTCAGCTTCACCATAACAGGTTAAATCATATTTATTTGATGTAGCAAGTCTACACTTATAAGAAACTGTAAAACGTTTTGCACGATATATCAACAATTTATAAAATGCTAAACTTTATCTCAAGTAAGCTGATTTTCATAATAAATTTTCTTTTTTTTTTGATAAAATATTTCATTAGAAAATCAGCTTGACAAACAAAACTTAATTCTCAACTCCAAATACGAAGATGTTCAACTGAAATTGAAAGAATCAAGAAAGTTAGTAAAAGCTTTAGAAAATAAGTCACAACTACTAAGAAAGCAACTTTCTACTGAAAAATCAAATTTTATTCATTTAAAGGAGGATTTCAGAAACAAATTACAAGTATGTTGTCATTTAGTAAATTTGCTTGTTGTAATGATAGTCATTTGTGAATGGTCATTGCAGACAGAGTAGTAGCTATGGATTTCATTTTACTATGTAACTAGTGATGGATATTCAGCTTAACATTATCTTTGATTAATTATTTAGCACCTAGACATTGATGACTGTTACTGTTGTGTTAAGGACAACCCAATAGAAGAGCAATCGTTTAAATTTAAAATTTTAAACATATCTTAACAGAATGATACAACTGTTGTTAGAGTAAATATTAAAAAAAAATTGAACTTGTTTCAGGTGACCGGATTTAACGCTTCTCATAACTGTCAAAGAGCTTCAAGGTAAAGTAGTCATTATATGAACGTTAGAAACTATTTTATAGTACGCCAGATTTTTCGATTGAACGTAAAGATAAATACAAAAACGACACACAATGTAGCACGTATAAAAACATTTAGGTAATTAAAAAATAGTGAACAATAATCAGTGACTTCTTGAATATAGGTACCTATCCGAAGTTTGTGCTGATGATGTCGTTCAGAAGGACGATGAAATCTCCACGACCAAACCATTCAGCTCAGAGAACAAACCTACATCAAAAAAACCTTTATAAGAAAGCTCGCTGATGTACATTCACGGATTAATAACAGTATATTATCAAACATACATGCTAAGATCTCTAACCCTTTTAGTTTGCATTTAACTTGTAATAATGCTGATCTAAAATCTGAATAACAATACTGGGAGCATATTTTAGTTGTTAGTGGGTGAGTTATGGGGCACAAGCACTTTGTATGATAAAACTAACAAACTCCTTTTTCAGTTGGGATAATGAGAGTACATTAAACTTGCTTAATTGATTTCATCTCAAATCTGTAGATCACTTCAACCTGTGTAACTTAGAACCATCTACCTGATGTTTAGACCAATCAATGATTTAGAGTGGTCTATGGAGTTCTTTAAATTATCAGTGAGGATTAATATGTATTATATTTAAAGGCTTTTCTAGAATTTCTATATCTTTCAAGATTGATTTTCTTCAAAACCCTACTGTAGATATTTCGTGAATTTACTTTTTTTTAACAGTTTATGTATCACAGTATTCGTACGAAAATGCATAAACAACTATAATCGGAGACTGTGGATGAATATTTGCAGAAGAAACAGTCAAATTGAGACAATTGATTGTTATTTTGCAAAATAACAGTTCTTATATGGTTGATTGTCCCCACCCGTGCTTTGTTCACTACACAATATAGAATTCTCAACGCAAGGCATTTCAATAAGTTTCCATTTCTTACTTCTTGGTCGATCCTGATGATAAATATTAAGTGATCACTACTTAGAAGTTAGCAATCCAATAAATCGACATCTAAATAATGTACATTCTTTTCTCTGAATATTACCAGCAACCATGATATCTCTTATTAGGCCATTTATTACTTTTACAACGAAAGGTTGTACACTTTTCAGAAATGTACCTAAATTGATTATGCGATTAATACCCATAATGATGTATTATAACAAACAAAATTAGATGACTTGTTGAAATATCTAAATGACAGGAACAGGTAACTCAAATATCCAATTAAACCGTCATGGGTTAGTGTATAACCTAAACAGTTATTGTATTGAATTCCTATAAAGTGTCTTATTTTAATATTGATGTAATTCTTCTTCTTTTTTCTTTCTTTTTCTTTTTATAAAGAATTTAAAACAGAGATTTATAAATTATGTATTAGATATAGAACAAATTAAAATTAATTTATCTCATATCATTATGATTTTAAAACAAGAAATAAAAATAAAATATGAAAATTATTATCAAAGTTTATTTAATCAAAAAATTATTGATTTACGTAAAACATTATACAATGAAATTGAACAAAAAATCAATAAGGTAAATTATTTTTTTTAAAATTTTTAATTTGATCAATTTACATTTATCATTTACATAAACATCTAGTAAATCACTGGGCATTGTTTGTTTGAATCTTCCCATCGATGTGTTAGGACTGCAGCTGGTCAGTCTCCACCTTTGCTTATCTAGTAAATCACTTTTTTAAATATATAATGACGTTTTAAAATGTGGAAAATCTCCATATTGTAATTTTGAACAACATAGATACAAGTGGACAATATTGTTTTCAATGAGATCCTTATCAGGTTTTACTTGAATGTTCTAATCAACAATAATGAAAGTATCATCAACGTAACGAAACTGTAAGTCAAGATTATTGATAACCACTTTGAGAGGTTCGTTTTCTAATTTCGCGAAAACAAATCAACCGGGATAGAACCTAGAAGTGAACCCATCGCTATACTATCAATTTGTTTATAATATATGCCTTGATTGGTTTATTAATTTCGTATATGCATATAAATATTATTGTATATTAGAGTAAAGCCTGATGAGGATCTAATCGAAAACAATATTGTTCGCTTGTATATGTTGTTCTAAATTACGTTTTAGTTTAAATAACAGTTATGAACAGTATTTTTCACTACTTAACATATCGTTATTGTTTCATATAATCTCATCAGTATTGTAGTGAACGAGAACATAAGTGGAAACAACCGGATGTATTACAGAAAATCTGAGAACCAAGCAGTAATTATTTAATTTGCAAGATATCAATCAATTGTCTCAAACTTAACAGTTCCTTTTGCATATATCAGTCAATCATCTCAGATTTCAATGTTATTTTGTTTCCACACCAATCATTCTTTGTTCTCGTTCTCTTTCTTCAATTTTCTTAACATTCTGTCTCCAGGCATTTCACTTATGATTAGTGCTACATACTACTTATATCTGTCGACATTAGTAGCACACTCCATAATGTCAGTGTAGGAATTGTAAAGATGCTAAATTTAGCCATATTCATTTCCAAACATAAGTTGTACTTGAATGAATTTCTATAATTTATAAAACAATATATAGTTGTAACATTTTAAATATCAAATTATTCGGAATGAACAAAAAGTTTGGCAATTTTGAAAGTTATCATGATTGATGAAAGTTAAAAAAAGTGTTGAAACCATGATTCAATTGAAGCTAGACCACCATGGTAAACCTGGAAGCACTGCTAAGGAGTCCCACAATAGGACGAAACGGCCGTCCAGTGCTTCTAGGTTTCTAGGTTTGTCTTTTAATAAGGTTTTTTAAATTTTCAGAAAACCATTAAATTTATGGTATCCATAAATGTTACAGATCGATGTCTCGGATAAACATTTTTATTACTTCTACTGTTTGACCAGCTGGCTTGATAATATATATCTACTTTAAGCAAGTGAAGTTTTCATTTCAAGTTTGATTTAAAAAATATTAAATTAACAAATGTAGAAAAAAGTATACTCCTAGAAATGGTGTTCAGTATTAACGAACCAGGTGGTTTAAACGCTCAGTTCTTTTTAGGTTTTGTTAGTCCAGTATATATATATATATATCATTAGATAAGATGTATTTTCATTATTAATAAACTTTGGGAGCTGTCCTGTTGCTGGAAAATTGCTTGCACTGCAATAATACGAGCAGTAATTGGAAAAAAATATCGACATAACAATTAAGAGACTTTTTCATTCATATGTTCATTTTAAGATTACAATCCAAAATTATACAACAAAGTGGACTATTTGTAATGTTCAAATTATAAATTATCATTGATTAAATGAAACTCTAGACCTACTCACGTGTTTTCTGAAACGATTACTCATTTGATGAGCTTATTATAGGTGTAATTCCTAACTAAGTATGCCGTTTTCATTTTATGAAACAAAAATTCATAGTGTATAAAATGTAAAACTAATCAAAATTACATTACGTCTAGTGGTAGAACAATCGAATTATACTTGACGGAGAAGCTTTGGAGAATGTGAAAACCTTTACATATCTGGGCAGCATCATCGATGAATACGGTGGATCAGATGCAGATGTGAGGGCGCAAGTCGGCAAAGCAAGAGCAGCATACTTACAACTGAAAAACATCTGGAGCTCAAAACAATTGTCAACCAACATCAAGGTTAGAATTTTCAATACAAATGTCAAGACAGTTCTACTGTATGAGGCGGAGACGTGACGAACTACGAAAGTCATCAGCCAGAAGATACAGGTGTTTATTGACAGTCGTCTACGCAAGATACTTCGGATCCGTTGGCCAGACATTATCAGCAACATTCTACTGTGGGAGACAACAAACCAGATTCCAGCAGCGGAAGAAATCAGGAAGAAGCGCTAGAAGTGGTTAGGACACATATTGAGGAAAGCACCGAACTGCGTCATAAGGCAAGCCCTCACATGAACTCCTCAAGCCCAAAGGGAAAGAAGAAGACCAAAGAACACATTACGCCGAAAACGGAGACAGATTTGAGAAAAAATGAACAAAATTGGATATAATTAGAAAGGAAGGCCGAGGACAGAGTGGGTTGGAGAATGTTGGTCGGTGGCCTATGCTTCATTGGGAGTAATAGGCGTAAGGAAGTAAGTAAGCTAGTGGTATAACGAATCAAATCAAGGATTATGTGATGAAGAAAATCTTCAACGAAAAATGATTACTGTTTTTGAAGACAGAGTTGTCAGTAAACAAATATATCATTTCACAATGATATTCAACAAATTCACTAAATGAATTTCATAAGTTAACATGAATATTCCAATGTCATTCAAAAGTAGTTTAGAATTATTTACCTAGAATATGACTATTTCAAATCATATACCAAATGACAGTGTTAAATATACAGTTTCGAGAAAGCCGACAACTATAGTTAGTATTTCACAAATGAACTGCAACAACATTAATACGTTATTTTCTTCTCACCATATCTTACCTGTTTCATTACAACGAGAATGCTTCTTGGTAAACATTATAAAACCAGGTCTTTTTACTATCACAAATATTGCCTTTAGTTGTTAGATAATTTTTAATATCATAACTAATACAAATAGATAATAGCTAATCATGTTTTTTTTTGTAATGCAACAAAGAGTTACCCAGGTGTCTATCAGTGCAGATAAAAATGTATGTTTTGTAATGATCACTGTCAGTTTTTCAGTAGTGTAATGTTGCTTTGCCTGCTTTTCATAGTTTTAACAGAATTTTGTAAAAAGATTTAACACAAACCTATTGCTTGATGTTTCTAACAAAAAACAAAGAAAATGTTTCTTACTTACTTACGCCTGTTACTCCCAGTGGAGCATAGGCCGCCGACCAGCATTCTCTAACTCACTCTGTTCTCGGCCTTCCTTTCTAGTTCTAACCAACTTTTCTTCATTCTTCTCATGTCAGTCTCCATTTCGCGGCGTAATTTGTTCTTTGCTCTTCCTCTTTTCCTTTGGCCTTCAGGCTCGCCTTATGACGCAGTTGGATGCTTTCCCCAATGTGCGTCCTATCCACTTCTAGCGCTTCCTCCTGATTTCTTCCACCACTGGGATCTAATTCGTTCTTTTCTACAGGGAATTGTTGCTGATAGTGTCTGGTCAACGGAGGGAGGATATTGCCGGTCAAAAGCCTGAATAAAGGAGGAGGGTCTGGCATGGGGTTTGTGACCCAGTTCCGTAGAAAACAAACTGGTTAAAAAATTGCTAACCAGAAAAATTAATTTGAAGGAAAAGTACTGACTCGTTTTTAAATGTTCACACTAAAAATTATATTGACATCTACTTGTTGTATGAAATATACTAAGAAATGTTGTCTTTATTTTGCCTTTAAGATACTGTCAACTACAATTCGACCCTTTATTTTTGTTGTCAGTATATACCCTTTTTTATTTTGTTAAAGAACTACTTTGATCAGTAAGGTTAAGAGTTTTATTTTTAAATTTATTAATATTGTATTCAATGAAAAATAAATTTTTAAACGTTTCCGTGTTGAATAATTTGTTTCTGAAAGGAAAAAGAATCTGCAATTAGAAATATAACAGTAGTAAAACAAAATGAGATTGAACGACTTCAACAGGTAAACAAGGAATTAAAGTCAAAACTTGCTAAACAATCTCAAGAATACGAGAATGAAGTAAGTTGGTAACATTTAAAATTTGATTTGCACACTACTGAAGAGCCCGTACTAGGATGAAACAATCGTCCAGTGCTTCCAGGTTTTTGATGGTGGTCTAGCTAAGATCGATACGTGAATCTAACTGTGGACAGATTACAATATGCATAAATTCACACACTGATAAAATTGCTAATTTATTGATTGTGCATCAATAAAAGTCAGTACAAAATAGGCCAACAAAGTAACTAAAATTTTTGGAATAAATAATACGCTATGAGTTTAACAACTTCTTCCGCACTGATTGTTATTCGTGCACTTTTACAACTAAGTTAGACTTTTGACCAAAACTCTAACAATCAAATTAATCTTTCTCAAGCTAAACAGCATTCAAATACTAGCCAGTGACTGACTCCGGAGAAGTTTGTCTAGGTTATAGTGAGAAGTCATGACTGATGGAATTCACTCGAATCGAAAGTGAGACAGTGACTACCCATCATACTGGCCGATTTTCGTGCTATACAATAAACTGATAAGCGTGTGAATTGAGAAGTACCGGATTTCAGTCCAATGATCTAAATGCATCATGCTCTCGGGAAAGCCTAATTATCCTGATCTCAATACCATAAGGGAGAATTTGTATTTCCTCACCTTAAAGGAAATTCGAAAAGAAATTATTCCCTGGTTTCAAAGGCTTTCTAGTCGATTTTAGTTAGTCAAGGGAACCATCGTCAAGTTAAAACCTGCGATCATATTCACCCTGACATTTTGTATTACGTTTATTATTCAGATAAAATTATTACTTTTTTTCTAATGATGGACTGGCTTCATAATATTAACATTATTTGACTGAAGTATCTCTATATGGAATTTACAAAAACATAATTAGTAGACCTTTCAGAAAGAAAAGAATTTCTATACAAAGTTAATCACTATTCAATCATTATAGATGGAGGAATACTTGAAATTCCACCTCTTTTTATTCAGTTAAATTCATTTATTTATTTCAGTACATAAACATTGGTACAAAGAGGCAGCAAATAGATATGCGCCAGATAAATCATTCGATTTGTGTGTAGTCTGTGATACTGCCCACGTGCCCATACCGAAACAAGTGGTTTTCGTAGTATGCCACTCTCAGAGCCTTTGACCTAATGGTATAATCCACAAGGCAGTGGAAAAACGCAAAGAGATACAGTCACATGGTAGTCGGTGGCCGATATTTGGTTCATACACCATTTGTTCCTACATGATCCTGGAGCCCATGTGCACCATTGGTTTGTAATCAAGGTACTCTAACTCCACCAGGTGGATATTCCATATCCACGAACTCGGTTAAAGCTCTGGACATTCGCTTTTAGCCCTCTGAATTTCGTAAACAATAGTAATGCCATGATAAGGCAATGAGTAGGTGTTCCTTGATAGTAGTTGTGTGTATGTGGTCATGTGAGAGAATTTCGAGCGCGCGCGAGAGAGCTAATTCTCTCCACTCTTGGCCATACCAGGGCATTTGGAGGGCCATTCAATTAAATGATGATTATGATTAATAACATTAATAAGATTTCTAATAAAATGAAAATTATCCATTTCATAGATTATTGAGAAAAAATGTAATCTAGAGCAAGTAATTAATAAACTAACAAAAGAATTCGAAGAATGTCAACTTACTAACAAACAAATTGAATTGAAGCTAGTGAATGAATGTAAAAAGAAGGAAAATTTGGAGAAACAATTAATCAAACTAACAAATGAAATGGAACGAATGAAGAATGACTATGAAAACTTATCAAAACAAGCTAAAGAAAGTTTATTTCTATTTTGTTTTTATCCTATTCCATACATATATTAAAATGAATTCTTACTGTTAATTATTTTATTAGCATAAGTACTATACCATAATAACCGTTCATTTGTTTTAAGATTAAGCTACATAAGAAGAGTTTAGATGAATTCAAATTTGCTAAAGTGTTAGGGAGATCCAGAAAATTCGAAAAAAGCCAAAAAGGGTCTGAAAACATTGAGAAGCATCTTATCCATTCAGTATTTACTAGAAGTTTTGGCAGAAACATCTAGAAAGCGAGGATTCACATGTCGAGTTTCTGGTTGGATGATTACCTACACTGCTACTATGTTTAGTAGCGTCCTAGAATTTTCCGGAAACCCAAGGCCATCCAAAATACCATAAAAGACCCCAGATTTTTTGTAAATAAAAGAATCTTTGGAGTAAAGCGTTTCTTTCATATTTCACACCTTTTCTCACGTGTTCAAGTTGCTGTATAGATCTAGCCTGGAGGTTACTTGAAGAGCTTAGGAACCTAATCTAGCGTTCATTAAGAAGACTTACCACAAAATTATCATTTTATTGTATTTGAAGTTTGAATAAAATATATTGGTAATCAGACTATGAGTTCTAAATTGTATGCTATAATAATAAAATAGGTCAAATTATAATTTATGAACAAACCAATGAGTTAAAGGATAACAGGCCTTGGATTCGGACGAGAAATTCATTCATCCATATAGTTAACTAGCGTTTTAGGATTATGGTTGATGTTAATTAATGAGTGAAACCTTTAATTCATAACATTAATTCCTAATCCTAATTCCTCATATTAATTTATAATCCTTTTTTGACAGGGATAAGTAGGTGAATTGTTTCAAAATCACTTTAGTGTCCCACTTAACTGATCGACTGTCTATAAAGATTAAATTAACCAGTATTTTCTTCGACATAAAATACCTAACAGTTTGAGTTTCATCAGAATGTTCTATAATTTAATCATTCATTGTTATTGGTTAATAAAATATATGTTATTAAAATGAGTAGACATTTACACTTTCCCCACTGTAAATTAATTTTATACTTTCTTGACAAGTCAATAGAAAAGTATTATTTTATTCTTATTTGCAATATACTTCAATGAAAACTTATTCACTTACTCAAATTACATTCATTTAGTTACAGATGGGTGACAGATAAATGACAATTCGAAAATGAGTATAATTTATCTGTCATAACTCTTCTGAAACAGAAACCATTTTGTTTAAATACATGTATTAATGATAAATATTTCTGAGAAGTAAAATTTGAGTTCTTTAATGTAATCTGTACTCAATGTACAATTTTAATTGCTACGAAAGAACTCCTGTACTGAGAATGAACTATGAAAAAACCATAACTCAAAACTTTAAAACAGAATGCTTCTATCTTTATTAAATAATCATCTTGTAAGAGTTTAAAATTTTTAAATGAGATGAAATAAAAAAATCCTCAATTCCATGATACCCTCGTACAAAATACCTAACAATTGAAGAGTAGCTGTTCCAAATCAAATCACATCATGAGGTAGTTCTTGGGGCTGTGATTGATTGATATGAGTTTTCAGTCTTGATATTAATCTGTAATTCTGCATGCTTTACAGTGAATACTTATTTTTAATTAAATATTTTAATATTTATTTACAATGGATTCTTGAATAGTGACCGATAATAATACTTTCAAACTATCAGGAAAAAATGAAATTTAATGATACTTTTGAAAACATTATATCATTTAAAGTGAATGTAAACAGATCTATTTATTTTATGGATAATAGCTTTCAGTTGAACCCGTATGGCTGGATATAGCCGTAGTCCAAAGTTGATTTTCACACTAGGAATCGAACTTAGTTTCAGTATCTTTAAATGGAAGTAGATTATTTACTAAGTTATTGAGTTACGACACTCAACAACTCATTTAAATAATATAACATTTGTTATTATTATTATTAGCCTATATACCAACAGACTTTGTTCAAGGGACATCAAATACATATGCACCACGCTAGTCACTTGATTTGTGTGAGGGCTGTGATACTGCCCACGTGCCCATACTGAAGCAGGTAGTTTTCGTAGTATGCCACTCTCGGAGCCTTTGACCTAATGGTATAATCCACAAGGCAGTGGAAAAACGCAAAGAGATACAGTCACATGGTAGTCGGTGGCCGATATTTGGTTCATACACCATTTGTTCCTACATGATCCTGGAGCCCATGTGCACCATTGGTTTGTAATCAATGTATTCTAACTCCACCAGGTGGATCCTCCATATCCACGAACTCGGTTAAAGCTGTGGACATTCGCTTTCAGCCCTCTGAATTTCGTAAACAATAGTAATTCCACTATAAGGCAATGAGTATGTGTTTCCTTGATAGTAGTTGTATGTATGTTGTCATGTGAGAGAATTTCGAGAGAGAGAAAGAGCGAGAAAGACCTAATTCTCCTTCACTCTCGATCGTACCAGAGCATTTGAGGACAAATATTATATTAGACGATAATCATTCTTATCACAATATTATGTCAAAATATTTATTCATTTACTTTTAGTTAGTTGTACTTTAATGTTTATGATTATGATTTGTAAAATTATCATGTTGGAAGAGTTAATATTTAGTTGAAATAATACGTGAATGATGGAGGATATCAGGTTTTTTTTCTTTTATAAAAAAAACGTAGATAAAATCTAAATCTGATTAATGAAAATTCTATGAACTTCAAGAAAAGTTTCATGATACATAACTCGTTTTGTTGTACCTCACCTTGGTTTTCTTCTCTTTTTTTCGTGTGAGTTCAAAGGAAATACTCTCTTTTTATTTTTACCTAGATATATATGCCCTGAATTTTTAACTATTGAAATTTATAGAAAAAAAAGTTAAACTTATGATCAAATTAAATTAGATAATTATGTGAAAATGTTATATATTACTCACCTGTTCTTTCATTCTTATTTGTGTTTTTTTTATTTATCTTTTCTTTATCTATTTTTCTTATCATTCATTGTCAACTCAAACTACTTTCTATCTCTTAAAAGCTTTTCATTTCTTTTTTTTACATTGATTCAATCAATTGAATGTGTATTTATCAAAGAAAATCAAATTTTTTTTCCTTCCATCTATTCATACATTCATTCATTGATTCTATCCTACTTCTTGTTTTATCTTTATTTTTCAATCATTGTGAATTTTCTTTCTTTTTTTTAAAAAAAAATAAAAACTGTTACATTTTTCAGCATTAATTCATTGAAATTTTATTTTATTGATTAATTTTTTCTTCTTTCAAAAAAAATTATTTTTTTTAGTTAGAAAAAAGTTCAAAATTCACTGAATTAGTTTCTGAACTTGATCGTAAATGGTCTGAAACTGTAGGTCGTGAATGTGCACGTGTACGTAGTGAAACAATGCAACAATTAGAATTACAATATAAAACAAAATTAGAAGAAATTACAAATAATTATGAAAAAACAATTAGAACTATAAATAAACAATGGGAGATGAAAATAGAATTGAATAAAATAGATCAGTTTAAAAATAATATTGATCAAGTAACAGAATACATAACTAAAGAACAATCAAGGTATGTCGAATTTATTAATCAAATATATTATAAATAAATTAATATATATTTGTAATATCTCAATGAGTAGAAAGATGAAATTTAATGACGTTTCGTGACTCAGTGTAAGTCACTTCTTCAGAGAATAAATAACCGAAATCAAAATCGATTAGAGTTCTATAAAATTTAGACATTTTTTCGTTTAAGTAGGTGGTTGAACTAATAAGATTTTTAAATGTTTCTCTAAAAAGAATTGGTAGCCAACGTAAGTGTATTTAAACAGATCATTTTAATTAAAGTTATTCATTTGATATGTCATTACTATTATTTTTGGGCATTGATAACTATATCAGTTTGATAAAGTTTTATTTCACATAAACTATTAAAAGATTTTAAGAAACATATTCTTACGGTCGATATAATTGCACTATTTATTATACTATTGACTATGGCATACAGTGATACGGTGTTACTAAAAAAGCAAATAAGAAAGTATGAAGTTTCTATCGGATGCGTTTATGGAATACACCAGTATAAACTTAAATACAAAATAAATAGATAGATCACTTAAAATGACCTCTAACCACTGAATAGGTTAAATATATTTCCAAAACAGCTATATATTCATAATAGTTACAACAGTTATACGGAACATTTTAAATAAAAATGATGTCATAAGATATTTCAAGACAATTAGAGTATTTTTTCAAAAATATCTCTATGTGTACATCTAATTTACTTATGTAAGTGTTATCCAATGGAAGATTCGTATATAAATCATTTCACCCATGAATTATGACATCAGGAAAAACATAAAATTTCGTTATCATAATATGAATAAATCATTTCACTACATACATATCATATTTTTGCATCGATGTTTTACTAAAACTATTAGTATAGTATTGAAAATAGTTTGACTTTGATGAAGTTTCATCAAGTAATGTCAAAAATAAGTTAACAGTATCGAGCTGTAAAGACTTCTTATTCGTCATAGTATGGGAATGCTACGCAGTGTGCATCTACGATCCCGCATGCTGAATTCGAATCCTGGACCGTCGGTTTCTCACGCGAACACCTAACCGCTAGACCACAGAGTCAGAATCCAACTGTGGTAATGTCTAACTTTAACCTATCCGCGATATTGAGCGTTTATCTTCCATTGTCGTCGGTAGACATTTATTAACTTAGGAGCATCAAAATAAAAGTTAAATCCAATGATACGTAAACTTTTTATGAAATTCTAGTTCCAAGATATCGATATTATCTTTTTATTTCTCAATGACTAAAATGAACTGAAGTGAAACATTGTTACGTATCGTCAATAACAGTTCATCCATGAAATCCTCTATAGCATTGTTTGAGATTTTTACTATTCTACAGATTACCTTAATTCACAAGCATTATATGCAAGGATGGATAATGGCCAGCAGTGGAATACAAGACGCGCGTTTCGTCCCATTTAGGACTCGTCAGCTGGATGTATCAGCATCCAAGAGCTGAAGTCCGCTCCTGGACTCGAACCCAGTACCCTTCGCTTTAAACACCATCGCGTTATACCGAAGTGAACATCAACTATGGGATCCAGGTACATCCATCTGACGAGTCCCAACTAGGACGAAACGCGCGTTCTGGATTCCACTACTAGTCACTACCCATCTTTGCTTGTAAATATATTTACTTAGAAATATTTATTATTCCTATATAAATGTTATTTTATTTTCATTAAGTGATCACATCAATCAGTTGTCAGAAAACTTAGGGAAAAATCTTGATCAAAGTGTTCAAACTGATGAGGAATTAGTAAGTGTGAATCTTTCATGTTTATTTTTCAAATGATTAGTTGTATAATGTCTTTAATAAAGTCGTTTATTGGTTGATAATGAAATTTAGAATATATATTGTTTTGTTTGAGACTCATCAGCTGGATGTATTAGGGTTTATATAGTGATTTCCATACTGAGACTCGAAATCAGTACTTTTCATTTCAAGCATTAATGGGTTATCCACTGAGCTATAGATGCTAACATGTTCCACACGTGTTAATCGTATGCATAATAATTTGTATTTTACTGTTATTGTTAAGATCTATGATTGGTCAGTCTCTATTCATATATGTGTATTTTGAAGTGACTACCTACATTTGTGCGCATAATTATCGGATAACCAAATGATGTTGGGAATGAATTAAATAACAATGGGTATTGTAAACAAGTAATAAGCATCAAATCTACCTAAATTTATAAAGCAAATTTCTAAGAAGCATTTTCTACTTAAACAGTGAGTATAGAAAGTAAACCTTCCTTTTGTTTGCTAACAAAAGCTATACTGGAAGAGTTGCTTGTGCTGCGAAATCGTACGACTTTCCAGTCAAACAATTTCCATTTCCTAAAGTATGGTTTAGGAACGAAAAATCACCAGCATGAACTAAGTAACGGTGATAGTAAAAGGACAAGCGATCTACATGAGTTCATGGAAACCTATCTGTTTCAGAGCATGTTGATGAACGGAGTTAGACATAACATACTATGAATTGATTGAAGTTTAAAGCTTATTGAATGGAACCAATTATCTCAGTAACAGATGAAATTTACACCATATCTAAATTCGTGATGAGGAATAAGAGTTATTAATGAGATATCTATTTGAAAGTTCTGAGCTAGTTGGCAAAACATTGTGTGATTGTCAATGTGTAGAGATTTAGGTTTTTAGGTAGGAAACCAATATTTTTTCCATTAATTTGAGTATCATTTGTCATTTACATTGATTAATGACAAAATGTTGCTTGAAACACTTGCTTGAAGCCTCAAGGTCAAAGAGCACAACCGTTATTTATTAAAATGAAAGGACTTCCAAACGACGAGCCATAAATTTCACTTTTTTACATGAAACGGTTCACCAAGCATTTGGGTATGAACCACTCTCTGGGTATGAAGGCTAATAATACTACGCAGTTGTCGGAAACAAAGTATGGCAAATCATATTTTTTATATTAAGACCATGATGACTGATATGTTCTGTGTATACTAAAACTCAACCCAAAAGGAGTATATCAGCGTCCTGAATAATTCCGTGCTAACGTCTCTAAATGTCACACTGAGTGACCCTAGCTCTAATTCCAATGATGTGTCACGATTTCGAGTCACTCAAAAAGTCAGTCAGTCCGTCACAACGTAGAACCTGCTACGTATGCTAATCGGCTCATGTTACCGTAGCCCATCAGCACAGCGAAATAAAAATTATCAGGCAAAAGATCAGAAAAGTTGAGTTAGTAACGGTGTAGTGAACAAAATACGACTGGGGACAATCGAATGTATTTAAGCAAACATTACAGACTATCTCGGTAAATTCTGATAACCAAACAATGAACAGTCAATTTGCAAATTAACAACCAATTGTTTCAATCTTCACTGTTTCTTCTCTAATTCCATTGCTCATGCATTTTCCATACGATTGCGCTTCATTTCCATTCTTTCCTCATCGGTCTTCTGCCAAAATACATTCTATGTCTGACCCACACCATATACTACTTATATGGATATAAGTAGACCACACCACAACAGTATCAGTGGTAATGGGAAAGATTGGTCATCAGAGGTACAATTCGAGAAAATCTAAATTAGTGAGATAAAAATACCAAAGGTTATGAGGAATTTAGAATCATAGAATTTAATGCATCTGCACCGTTGCAAACGATTTTGAGCCACGTCACTGAAAGTCTCTAACCATTGGGTACGATAATGATACGGACCCTAACCAGGTAGTCTGTTCCTATCAACATGACTAAGTCCAATTGTCAGTGACTTTATGGGCTGATGCAGTGTTTCTGTCTGTCTGCCCTAGTTTTACTCAGCCTACTCTTACACCAGATAACGTTACCCATCGGGCTATGTGGTGGTTGGGCGTACGTAACACACGTCCCAACTACCTCCGTTGAAGAAGATTTACTACTCCATCAATCAATTCCCGATCTTCCCTTTGTAAGAATAACTTACTCCGTAGTCCCAAAATACATGAGAAACACTCCGTAAACACATATGGTCGAATACAACTGACCTGAGAATACCATCACTTCTTAATGTCCATGTTTCACATCCATAAAGTATAACGAAACAAACTTTTCCCCAGTAAACTCACCTTTTAGTTGAAAGATGGATATCTCGCCCATGCTACAAGTGGTTCAGGTTGTTAAGGTTAATTGAGATTTTTAGATTCGTGCAGTGATTACATCAGATACCAGACTATTATAGCTGATGGGACCCCCAAGACAACTAAAACGGTCAATGAGTTCAACTACTTCACTCTGTATCACTATTCAGGAGATAACACAGGCCAATCCCAAAGTAACATTTCTCATTTGGAGAAGGAGAACCGCATCCTAAACATGCTTGAATTATTGCTTAAGATGGTCAGAAGATTGTATTTTATCAGAGCCACCACCAAACAGAACTACATTATCTGGGTTAAAAAGTTAATCTGTAGTACCGGTTGCTAAGTTAAGCCCATATACATTATTATAGCATCTGCACAGGTCAATTTATTCATTCCCCGTGAGACACGTTTTGACCTTGTTAATTATTCACTTATCAATCCTGACTGTTTTTATATGAGCGTATATGTGTGCAAATCTCATCCTATTCATCACATGTCTGTAGCTTATTTTTGTGTGACTATAAGTATTGATTAACGCTTGGTTAAACTGAGTTGGCTCACATGCCATCTACACTGCTCGTTATTTTACTTCTTTCTCTTCTCTTCGCTTAGTCCCTCTGATTGTCTGTCCAGATCGATTAGTGTACAATATATATGTATTCGAAATTCATTCTCGTACGTGACTTGATTCCATTATTCACTAACGCGCTTAAGTCCATAATTTTATACGAAGATCGACGACAGTTATATTTTCATAGGAATCAGAAACGATCAAACTCGAGTCAGATATCAGGCCACAAAAAATCTACCGGTGGAAGACGAATTTCTGTATAGTCAGACGATGAAAGTTATCTCTAAAAGGATGTCTATGACATTTAAATAAAAATGGCAAAGGCGGAAAACAGTGACAAACTCCACCTAACGTAACTGATCCCGATTACAGTTCGCCACAAGCTGTGCCTCAACTAGTAGTGTTTGAGCAGAGAGCCTTCACAGTGTTAATGTTCTCCTTTGGTACACCTTTCAATTATAGACATAGAAACCTCACGATCAACGGAGTCAAACACCTCCCTAATAAGGTCAAGGAATACAACTATAGTTGGACGTCCTAAAGCACTTCTATATTTTAGTGAATAATAGTCCTTACATCCACGTCCAGGTCTGAAACTAGCCTAGTTTCCTCTGGCTTGCTTTTCACGAGGTTAATATTTTAGACACTGTTTTGCTTAAACGAATTTGTTCGTGATTGTTATGAGAGGATTTTTGTTATTTCTTAATAAGGTGGGACGATCAGTGATCGAGACCAGTCAGATGGGATTACGTTCACTTCCTAGATTCTAGCTAAGATTTCAGTTAATCTGACTTCCAAAACCGAACCACTACCTAAAATTCTCAGGAGTTAGTTTATCTGACCCTGCTGCTCTCCATTGCTTTAGATCATTCGCAGTCCTTTCCACCTCACTAGGAGTTAGAGAAGTTACATCAGTTTGCGATTTAGGTTGCTTGGATTTAATAGGTAACTGGTGTGTGGTTGAAGGCCAGTTTAACTGTTCCCTAAAGTGTTCTGCCCATCTGTCCAATGTTCTGGATTGAGAGTGAATAATAGTCCCGTTTTTTTCTTATATAGCTTCACTTATGGCCGGATTTTTAATGCTTTATTGATTAATTAATGTTTTTTGATAAGTCTGAACAGTTGTCTACTGTTACCTATCCGTGCTTCCTTTTCCATCTCTTCTGCTTTCGCTACCCACCAATACTTACGGTCATTATGTAGACTTTTATCAGTGTTCATTTAAGCTTCCTCCTCTCCTCATCGTGTTTGGAGCCTGATAGGATGAGTTTCCGAGCATTTATCAGTTTTGTAGATGCCTCTGAAATCTACTGATTTTTCTCAGCCTTTTGATTTAAGTTATTATGAGTTATAACTGTGTTTCCATACCCTTTTGAATGTTTTGCCAAGCTACCTCGGGGTCGATAGATTAGGAGGTTAGATAGCTTTCTGTAAACTTCATCTCTAAATTCGTTCGAACTACAATAAGTGGGAGCGCAGTTAAAGACAATGAAAAAACGATGGTTTGTGTCCCTACTGTTACGTTTAGTCGGACAGCACACAAGTGGTTTTATATTGGAATTAAGTCTGGAAGAACCTTTTCTGATTTCGAACTTAATGCTATACCTACATCAGAGAGATCACAGGCAGTGGCAGTGAGGTCTCCGTATGCTTGAAGGGCAAATCGTGCCGGTTTCCTGTATTGACAAGTGAAGTCGTATGCATGACTGTACTTGGATCCTGTATTCATGTTTCTGAGGAGCAGTACATATCGATGGCGCGAGGTTCTAGAGTCCTAGATAATGAAGCCTGTGTTACTATCTGATGCAAAGTTTAAACATCGAAAGCTTGAACTTGAAGTTTAGAGCTTGATTTCAGGAGACCGTGAATAACATTTCATGAACTCGAATAATTAGCATCGGCGACGCGTTGTGATAAAGTTAAGTGAGAAGGTTTTTTCATGGGGATGGAGAAACCAATAAGAAGTGAGGCAGGGGTTTGGTCGTCAACCACATGATCTCGGGTTGTTGTCACTTCTCAGCTACCCACGTCGTGGAAGAATATCTCTTCCTAATGAACCTGAAAAAGTATCAGTGGTGGTCTTAGCGACCTGATGTCATGACTGTAAAACCAAAGGTATAACTGCTTGAAACCGGTTATGAACGACCTTCTCATGAGGAGTTTTTTAGTGTTTTTACTCCGCGATTCCAAAGGCCTTACCACCGGAGGCGGAATCCTATGGATTAAGGTGATGTATGCCATTTTTAGGGTCGACCTTTTTTAACCCGTTCCTCCCGATATGAGAAGGTGAAATTACTGCAGATGCTGGTTGTCCGAGGAAAACACTATACCGCTGTAACGCCCCTCTACAGCCAGGAGTATGACTTTGCCCTCGGACCTTAAGTGGCTGCTTTTAGTTTTATCGTTTCCCAACTGACCTATCTAGCATGATAGGACAAACCATCCAGCTCAGAGAATAAAACTCCATCAAAATCATCCACCTGAGCTACAAATCTTCTACACCATCTCATAGCTATAATATGAAATAATATTTATAAATTAACTTAACTCAATTCTTTCTTCTTTAAAATTTTGTTCCTTAAACACTTGCCTTCTCATTATAATTTAGTTAGCAATTTTTGGTTAATTTTTTTTATATGGAATTGTAGAAATTATTTTCTTTATTTTTTTCGTTGTCACGAAACTTATCCATTTATTATTTTATTTGATTCCTTTTTATTTCTCTTTCGTGTTTTGTAGGAAAAAAAAAGTTTTTTCTATTTTCTTTTATAAAATAAAAAAATTTTTTGTCTTCATTTATTCTTTTTTTGTTTTTTGAAAAGGAAAATAAAATTGAAAATAATCAGATTGGTAATAATGAAATGAAGAATATTATAATGATTGATTCGAGTACGGAAACTGATCAACAATCGTACATTGAACAAAATAATTATCATATGGATGAAAATGAGAAAATCCAAGTATACCGATTAAATAGTCTACATTTAAATCTATAGTAGGATTATTATTATTATTATCTGGAATGCTTAAACTGTACTATTTTTTGGTATAGTTTAGGCAAAACATTTATCTGACAACTTGAACCAATGTAGTAAAGTTAGTGGTTCCTTGAAGTTAACATTCTCTGTACAATGGTCTGTGAATCTTATTCATTCTTCAATCAAAAGTGATTAAATAGTTGATTTTTAATGGTAGATTAGTTTCTTTTTTTAAAGAAATGGGGAATGCTACCATAATGTGATAAGACGCCATTGTTTATCTAACAGATAGCTACATGAATTCACTTAGTATTACTTGTTTGAATCTTCCCATTGATGTTTAAAACTGCAACTGGTCAGTCTCTTATTGGCATATGTGCATACTGTGCGTATTGCCTCAATATAACCTTATTTCACAAGCATTGTAAGCAAAGATGGATAGTAGACTCAGTATTTGAGTGGATAACGTGATGGCGTTTGAAGCGAAAGATACTGGGTTCGAGTCCCAGAGTGAACATCAACTCTGAGGTGCAGGTACATCCAGCTGACGAGTCCCAAATAGAACGAAGCGCGCGTCCTGGATCCCACTGCTAACCGCTATCCATCTTTGCTTAGATAGCTACATGGTTATAAAATTAATATTCTGACAAATGCTTCGTTATCTATAGTGCATCAAAAAAGTGGAGGATTGTTGAAGATATGTTTCTTTAGTTTTATATGTAAAATGTTGCTTCAAAACAGAATTCACATTATCACAAGATCATTTTATTTTATGATAGTGTTCTTTAGGTAAAGTTTCTTGAAATAGACGAACATTGCAAATCAACCATACGCTTCATTCGGCATAAGACTATTTGAGCCTGGTTTTTAACGGAACTGAATCTAGCCATCTCAAAGATATAGTTCTGTTACGCATTTTGATGTTATGGAGTTAAAAATTTCTTAAACTTGCTTCCATGATCAGATTAACAAAAAACAGTTCTTCTATTATAGAGTATTATTCTGAATCCTGTATTAAAGTTTTGAAGTATCACAATTAGTAAAGATTTAGCTGAATTGTGAAAAATATTCGTAGGTAATCAATAACACTAATCTTAAATGCAGTAAAGTGGAGATGGATGTCAACCTATTTCATATGCTGTTAAACAGTCACAACGATATTTAGTTTTACTAACCTAATAATATTATTGTATCGGCGAAGATCATTTCATTTTCTTTTACAGTAAACTCATTATAGTTTCATATATAGTCTTGTCAATAAATTAATAAATGAAGTGAATTATAAGTAGGTGTTTTATAAGGACAAGTGTTTATTATTATTATTATTATGAATTTAGGTCGATGTAACCTTTTAGTCATCTTTAAAACAACTTTATTTATTGACTATCAGTTAAATATCGAATTTCAACTAAACATCTACCTATTAAATTATCGAAACTCTCATAGAAAACAAAATATGAACAGGAAGTTAAACAAAAACAAATTGAACTAGAAAAAGCTCAAGTCAATTATAATAAATTACTTGAAGAATTTGTTCAATATCAATCAAATTTTGAGCAAATACACGTTAAACTTAAAAGTGAATTAACAAATGAACGATTGGCAAATGAAGAAAAATTAAGGTGGGCTTCAGGTCAAATAATATTTTACAAATATGTAGTAAAAATTCTTAATACTTCACTTACGAACGTAAACATATGTCAGCGATGAATTAATTAAGAAGTTAAGTAGTAAGATTCTTTCCAATGTTATCCATAATTCATTGGTTTAGGTATAATTTCATTGGTTTAATAAGTCACAGGATCCTATCACAACCTCAGTCAGTTTATTTCAAGGTTAGTATTTAGTTGACAAATTTTTATCACTAAGCGATACAGAGACTTGCCAACATGAATCAAGTTATATCAAAAGCACATTTGAATTAAAAATAAAGCCTATTAGGATTCCAAATTGTTGACTCAATAGTACATAGTAAGCTGAGGGATCTGAAAATCCATAGTTCGATCTCACATACAGACACATACATAAACTACTCAGCAATGTCAAATTACAACGAAGATGCTGTCTAACAATTTTTTTACGAGCACATCTATGACGGGTAACAGTAAGTAAAGAAAATCATCTTTATATCAGTTCAGTTTGTACTTATGGAAAAATGATATATAGAGTAGTCTTTTAGATATATTTTATATGACACTGATATAACAAAATAGATAGAGAAAAGTGGGTGAACATTTTCATATATATTAACCTTTGGTATGCAAAAATTATGACAACTGTTTTATCACCACGTAACAAGGAATTAAAAGTGACCAGTTTTTACAATTATTAACCAGCAAATTGGCATTTGTTAGTTCAAAAGACAGATTTTTCTTTGAGTTGAATATCATGTGTAACTAATGACAAAAATGTATTTATCTATGTTTTCAAGATCACGATAAAAACTACTAATATGTGGTTCTTTCATTTTAATAGAAGTAATAGAAGTAATGGCTAAGAACAGTTAGTTTTCACGACTAATCAAGTCAACGAATAATACATGCATTGAAAAAATAACTGAGGAATTTATACTTTAGTAAAAATAGGAGTATTTACTTTGATGTTCATGTAATTTATTCAATAAACGAGGACTAATATACATTAAAACAAGTTCAATATAACCATAATCTCATTTTTTAAACTAAAGTTCACAAATTCACTTAGTATTGTTTGTTTGAATCTTCCCATTAATGCTTAGTACTGCAACTGGTCAGCCTCTAATTGGCATATGTGTATACTGTGCGTATTGCCTCGATATAGCCTTATTTCACAAACATTATAAGCAAAAATAGATAGTGGCTAGCAGTGGAATCCAGGACGCGCGCTTCGCTCTATTTGGAACTCGTCAGCTGGATGTACCTGCATCTCAGAGTTAATGTTCACTCTGGGACTCGAACCCAGTACCTTTCGCTTCAGACGCCATCACGTTATCCACTCAGCTGCCGAGTCCTGATAGCCACATGCTTGTGCAATGGGGTGAAGTTTAAGTTCACTTAGTATTGTTTGTTTGAATGAGTGAACATCAACTCTGAGATGCAGGTACATCCAGCTGAAGAATCCCAAATAGGAAGAAACGCGCGTCCTGGATTCCACTGTTAGCCACTATCCGTCTTTGCTTAAAGTTCACGAAGTTTAAATTTTTTGTTATTTTAATTTATTTTTAAAAGTTTAAAAGAAGAAGAATTACATAATCATTTTAAAAATGAATTACAAACAACGAAACAATATTATGAAAACCTAAGATCAAAAGAATATAATGAATTTATGCTTGCTCAAAATATTCTAAAATCTAAAATACATGAATTACATCAACGTTTATTAAAATGTTCATGTAAATCATCAACAGTACTAAAACAGGTTAGTGTAAATAATTAAAAAGGGGATGATACATTTTCGTTAAATAACAGTTATAGAATGAAAGAAAATGTAAGTTTTTAGTGGTCCGGGATCTGACTGTAAGTTATATCGTATGATTGTTTGTTATTGAAATATAGATCCCGGCTATCCTCGTATATTTCATCGACTTAAACCGATTTAGTGTATTACGAGATTAAATAAGTCGTATACGAAAATGAATTTTTGAATACATACATTTCGTACACTCACTAATTTGGACAGGAAATGAGAGGGGTGCAGCGAATGAAGCGAAGCGAAGCAAAAGGACGCTCAGTGCAAATGACATGTGAGCTAACTCCCTTTAATCATGCGTTAATCCATATTTATAGTCACACAAAAACAAGCTACAGACATGCGATGAACAACATGAGATGTACTCACACATATACAAATTTTAGAATAATGTATATGGGCTTGACGTAGCAACCAACACTACAAGTTCATATAAGATGCTAATATGAATATGATAGGATCTTTATAATATGAAGTCGAAATTTATCACAAATAAATGCTATGTAAGGGAATCTTGAAAACTAGTGAATATTTAACAACCGTTTTGTATTAGCATAAGTTTCCTTATGATTTCATATTCAAAATCTCGCTATGAATTCAGTCTTATCACCCCCGTCAAATGCTCTGGTATGGATGAGAGTGGGGAGAATCAGCTCTCCTTGTCTCTCAATTCTCTGACATGACCACATACATACGACCACTATAAGGAAACACGTACTCATTGCCTTATCGTGGCTTTACTATTGTTTACAAAATTGAAAGGGCTAAAAGCGAATGTTCAGTGCTTTAACCGAGTTCGTGGATATGGAGGATCCACCTAGGGAAGTTAGAATACCTTGATTACAAACCAATGGTGTACATGGGTTTCAGGATCCTGAGGGAACAAATAGTGTATGAACCAAATGTCAGCCACCGACTACCATGTGACTGTATCTCTTTGCGTTCTTCCACTGCCATATGAACTGGACTATTAGGTCAGAGGCTCCGGGAGCGACATACTAAGAAAACCAGCTGCTTCGGTCTGGGCACCTGGGCAGTATCACAGTCCACATACAAATCAAGTGAGTTGAGTGTCGCGTATGTATTTCATGTCCCTTTGTACCAATATTTTTATTTTCAAATAAATAAATTCCTATCACCGTTTGAATAGAATTATATTTCTCTACTGTTTGAATAATGTCAAGTCTGTTTTACTCAATGACTACTCGAACTGCAACGTAATTTTTCTTATATGAATAAATCTACATACTTATTACCAAACTAAATGATTATGATGACGATCAGTATTTCAAAACTTTAACTTCATTATTCTCTTTAAAGTCTAACTGCCATTTACCTCAATCTTCAATCAGTTGACAAATAAATTATTAAAATGAATTCTTTGACCTGTAATTCCATCCTCAGACATTATTTTCCTATTAAAATATATGAAAGGCAAATGGTCAACAATGGTTGACTTGGCAACTCTAACATTATCAATCGTGTGTTTCTCATGAAAACAGACAAATTGTCTTTGTAGTGGCATAATGAGAAAATTAAATTTATTTATGTTGAATATACCACCATTTTATGAAGTTTGTTTTTCCCTCTTTACTATTCATAAAAAGAATATTTTCAACTTGTTTAATCTTCCAGTAAACAAAACTATTAAAATTCATTCTATAAATTTTATATTTCACTTTTTTTCGTCTGTGGTTTAGGTAAAAAATAGCAGATTTTCAGCAAATAGTCAATTATTACCAGAAATTACTATGAGTAATAAACAAAGTTCTATTTTTGATACTTTATCATCTTCGTCCTTATCTCCATTATCACCAACAGGAGCTCTATCAGAATCAAAATTCGTTTATAATCATGACTATAATCTAATTTCTGACCAACTGCCTTCACAAATTAACGAAGATCATCGTTTTATGAATGAAAATAGAGAAGAGAAGTTTCGTTTGCCATCATTAGCTACCTAAGTGGTGTAGTGACAAGGAGAGTAATACAGGAAAATAAACATCATTTTATTGTGTGGCATACTAACAAGTATAAACAAATATCCATAAAGTTAATTAACGCATAAAAAACCGAACATTTCTACATTAAAAATTTACACAAAAAATAAAATGGAAGGTTTTTCTTAGTTTACTTAAAAATCTGTTTGTCTGTATGTATGTGCATACACCAGATAGTTACCTTTAAACTAGAAACTATGAAGTACTATTCACAAATTTCTAACCATCATACTTCCAATTTACATAATAAAAACAAGAAAATATAATTACATATTTTGTAGAAACTTCATTTATTTTTTTTTTTTGGAGGGGGGTAAATAAGATACACAGTTTGTTAAGACATTGAATTGGAAGGGGAATTAGTTAGGTTTGAAGATATTTTTTTCATACTGATCTAAGATAAACATTATTTGAATAAATGCTGAAAATTACGAGTAACTGGTAAGTAATAGTAGGGCTAGACGAAGGGTATTAGGGAATGATGGTAAATTATTTGATGAGGTTGTAAATCTTCATCGACTGAGGTGGTTAGACCATATGTTACCACATATGTTATATGTGGTAGGACTAGTAAGAGTAGAAACAGTAGTCAGAAAGATTAGGTTTTGAAGATGTTATTCAAGGATTATAATTCAGTGAAATAAATTTGGAAAGAGAAAAAAGATGGAAAAATGAAAAATTCCGAAGATTAGAATCGATCACAATGCCGTAGGCGTATACACTCTCTGTCCTCCCTTAAACTGTGAGATTACAATTGCTTCATATCTGTCTTTCTTCCTGTACTATATCCTTATATACAATCTTTCTTTTATATATTACTACCATTAAATTAACTTGGACCTGGTACCACGTTGTAGCTGATTGACTGACATTAACTGTTTTATTCACTATTCACGTTGTTCGGCTGTATGATGTCCAAAGATAACATGTATTATATGTTTGGTATTGATTGATACTCCTTGGTTCGTCAGATGCTTTTTGTCCGTAATCGGAAACGTTTTTACACTCAATGAAGTTTATACACTTCAGAAATTAAAACATGAAATTATGACAAGTTTAGAAACATCTTAAACAACATATAATTCATTATATAAAACTTTAATGAAAGAGAAGATTATTGAGAAATTTCCTGATTTTGTAAACTTATATTTGACTTAGTTTACTACAGATTATTCAGCAGTATTAGCTGACTTGAACGTGAACCGAACGTCTTTATTTTCAACAAATGGCTTCTGGTGAAATAATTGATGGTATAGGCTTTCAAAATGAGCTTCTTCACCAATTCTTTTGAAGATATTTGTTATAGGTGTAAAATTTAAAAGTAATATAGTTAAGAATAGAATTTTGTCTAATTTTTTATTCGATGAGTTAAATAATTATTTCATTGAATGATCAAGAAATTTATCAGAGATCTCTTTGACTAAAGCCTTCAATTATATACAAGTACTTTGTTGAAATTTAAATTTCATTACAAATTAGTGTTTCAAACAATTTGCTGTTCTTTGATAAAAGATTCAGTCAACATTTCAAACTAACCAGAAAATTAGTACTTTTTATGCAACCACAGAAAAACTGGCAAAGTACAATGAATTCTTTGAGTTATGTAAATACTGTCGCTGTTTTGGTTTTACTGGAAATTAAACAGAACCATTGAGTTAAACTATTTGTACGTTTTGTCCAAAAGCGTATTTTTGTAATAAATATCGAATTCTTACTATTTTATTTCGGAGTAATTGTGTGCTTATAAGTTATATATTATCTGAGAGAGGAATTTTATTACTTGTATCAAGGAATATGATATGTTTGTAAGAATGGTTGCTTACAAAAAAATGCGCTAGATTATGATATCAGATAGTAAGAGATCTGTAAATTGAGTCCTTAGTTTGAATAAGCGTAGTTTACTGATTAACTAACTTTGGAAGTCATAACGTTTAATAAATGTGAGTTGTGATGAACATTTTTAAAGACGATTAGTACCCTCTAGTGACTAAGAAACAAGTAGATCCATAAATCGTGGTAATTCTTATTATTAGTAATCGGTTGATGTAAGATATATGTGAACCGTTTCTGGTAAGATTTGTGATCATTTAATTATCAAAAATTATCAATCTAAATATTGATGTTACGTTTGTTTATGTCCTATCAAGCTATCCTACCTTTTCACGACTTTTATTCCTTTGGTAACGTTTACGTCATAATACAACAATTACACTTAAAATGTATACTTCACATTAGTTCTGCTACTTTATTTACGTAATATTGTAAACAACGAAACTTAACAGATTTTTTTTTCATTTTATGCCTATAAACTCTGAGAAGTTTTCACATAAAGCATATGACTAGAAGTTTGTTTATTGTTCTCTTATGATGGTTGATTGGACTTTATCTTATTTTCAATTTAGTTCATTCAAGACAATACAAACAAAATTAACTGATTATTCTTTCATACACTACTGAATTTTGATAATGCAATATTTATCTATCAAATACATTAGTTTTTACGCTTGAATAATCGAATTTTAACACTGGAGAATACTGCAAATTTATCTTAGTCATAATTAAATTCTTTTCAAAAAATATAAAAACGAATAGTTTGCTACCACTCCTTATCTTCAGTCATTTCTTTCTTTCCTTTATTCTTTAAGATGCATGATAGGACATGAATAAATATCTATTGAAGAGTATATTTCACAACGTGGTTAAAGCTTGTTGGTTATTTTCAATTTAAATGGCTATAGTGTGATAATAAACTAAATCCTGAGATCTTATATTTGTCATTATTAGTAAAGAACAGACACTAAAGAATAATTACGCCCAATACTTCTTATTGATGAACTTTTTTCGTTATAGGGTTGTGGAAATTGTTGAGTCTAGATTGATATCATGAATGGGTCATGCTAGAACATTACTGAATGGCCATTTCGTCTTAGTATAGGACTCCTCGCTACTGGTCCAGAGGTTAAGCATTCGCACACAAAAACGAAGGTCATGGTTTAGAGTTCATTGTGTGGGATCGTGGACGCTCACCGATGGTAAGTCCTAAACTAGGACGAAACAACCATCCAGTGCTTTCAGGTTTCCAATGGTGTTCTAGCATTGATCCATTCATAATATCAATCCGAATTGTTTTCAGTTTACCATTTATTATTAACGTCTCAGTCGTTGTGGGTAAATAAATGGGTACCTATTTTTATGTTTAATGAAGTACAAGTTAGGTAAATTATTCCAATAATGACTAGAAGAGTGAGAGGAAAATTGATAGCTGATAAGCAAATATGAAAAAAGAAATCTATGAATTCATTGATTGCTATGTTAAACCGTGTACGTATATTCAACCGTTTATGAGTATATTATAGGAAATGTGATTCCATTTGACTTTTTAAATTACCTTTCAATTTTATATTAAAGAGCATTTTAGACAATTAACACAAATACCATTTCTAGATGTAGATGACTATCACATCTAGAAACAGAAACCAAGTCTTGAAATTTCCGTAGTTCGAGAATATTATTTTAAAAATGTATAATATTTCAGTATTTACATTCAGTCTTTCCTTAATTATCCCGTCATTTCAGTTACATGACGTAACTTCAGCTACAAAGACAACCCGATTCAACGCATCTTACGCATCTTTTCTTAATACCATACACTGAAAAAGCTTTACAACATTACCAGGTCCATCATCTTAATTATGTTTTGTTAAATGTTTCCAATGGATCTTTCTAATAAGCTACATTATTTTGAGTTCTTCTTGAATGAATTTGAGAAGAGTGATAAATTTGCATTTAATTGTTTTAAACAATTATTTTCATCCTTTATATTAGCTTAACACCATAAATTTCATATTTTCCTTTCCATATTTAGTATTTAGTATCTGTACTGAATGTTAAACTACATAATATATAATAGACATTATCTAATAAGAAGTAAAAATTGACTGGAGACATTTTCTATCTAGAAACTATCTAGTAGTTGTTAGTTAAAGAAACGTTGACACTCAACCCCTTTAAAATTGTCTCCAAATAATCCTACTATTGAAATCTATACGAAATGTATATAAATAATATTAAAGTAAAAAATATATGGAGTAGTGCTTGTATGTGTGTGTGTGTTGTAACTGTTTGTCTAATACGAAAATATATTTGCTACTGATATCAACAGACATTTTTACTTTTGTTATCACGAAATTTCATTTAAATAAGCTGTCAAATTTTTTCTTCAAAAAATGATCTTAGCTACTTTATTCTAAAATTAATTTCCTTGGAATACAGTAAAAGAAGTAGATATATGAAAATTATTATGAAAAAATTTAGTTCGAAGATGAATAGTATAAAGAAGTTTCATTTCATTCCTTTATTATAACCCTTCAAAATATTGAAAATTATATCCTCGCTTCATTAGTAGCTACAGAATATGAAGTTAACTTAAATAAAATGTTCAAGTTATTCACTTATATTCAGTCAAACATCACGGTTTAGGAGTTTGTCTTTTTAATACTGATGAGGCTAATGAAAATCATATTAACAAATCTAACCATTGTAAGCAAAGATAGATGGTAACTAGAAGGGCAATCTAGGAGGCGCGTTTCTTTATGTTTATGACTCGTCAGCTGATGTACCTGCATCCCAGAATCGATATTCACTCCGTGACTCAGTACCGTTTGCTTCAAATACCGTCACGTTTTCCACTTATCTACTGAGTCCTAACAACCACTAGCTTGTGCGATGTAGTAAAGTTTAAATTCATTTTGTATTGGTTATTTGAATCTTCGCATTGATGTTTAGGACTGCAACTAATCAATCTATTATTGGCAAATGTGCATCTTGTACGAAATGCCTTGATATTGCCCTAAGTCATAAGCATTATAAGCAGAGATCCATAAAGTGGAAGATTCGAACAAACAACAGAAAATGAATCTAACCATAAAACTTCAGAGGATTTCTCACAACAACTCTCTCTCCCC